TGGACCTCAAGATGAGTGTACAAACTACATTCCTTATGTTGTGTTGAAACTCTCCAGCATGTTACAGAATTGTATGTAACAGAAATGTACTGATCTTTTAAAAAAAAACTACAATATTCTCTCTTTCGCATGGGGACACTGTGGCTATTCATTCTATTAAATCAGTACAAATTAATACTATTCGGTGTTTTTTAAAAAAACTTTCCAATGGGCATATAATATAGGTGTGAAAATATTGTTTTATTAACATTATCTATTATTATTTCATCTTATCATTTATGGTTTTAGCGTGCTATGATGCGCTTCTCTGAACTTGAGATGAAGCAACGGGACGATAAAGTTTCTGAAGAATCATTAGAGGACAACAAAGTAAGTGACACCGACTGCAGAAACCTCACTGGGAAAAAGGAAAAGAAGTCAAAGGGAGATTCAGAAGAAGAGAACACATCTGTGGAAAATTTTGAAGGCAAGTGATAACAGCCTGTGCAATATTATTTGAGCATTAAAAAGGCTGATGTAATCTTCTCGTAATGATTAGTATACTTAGCATCCCATGAAGATCCATTTTCTTATTGATAGTGATCAAATAATTCATTCATCTTGATAAAGTGACTGGTATGATGAAAAGTGTAGAATGTCTCCAAAGTCATTTACAAAGTGGAATACTGAAGTGGCTAGACCTGTTTATTCTTTTGCTAATCAAGTTGTATTCTATGAAGAGATACCAGAGCCTTTTTATTATTTATTTGTGGGATGTTGACATCACCAGCTGGCCCAACATTTATTGCCCATCCCAAATTGTTCTGAAGAATGTGATGGTGAACAGCTTTCTTGGTGTACACCCACAATTCTGTTACAGAGATGTTCTAGGATTTTGATCCAGTGGCACTAAAAGAGTGGCACTATATTTCAAAGTGAGGATGATGAGAGGCTTGGAGGAGAACTTGTAGCTAATGGTGTTTCCATGCCTCTGATGCCCTTGTCTTCGATTGTGTGGCTGTGGGTTTGGAAGATTCTGATAAGGAGACTTGATAAATTTCAGCAGAACATCTTGTTGATCACCAGACTGATTTTTTGGATTCTGTGTTTGCCAGGATTGACATTCGAATAGAGACTGGATCAGTTAGGACTATATTCACTGGAGTTTGAAAGAATAGGAGGATTACATAAAAACCTGTAAAATTCTAACAGGACTAGACAGGCTAAACGCAGGAAGGATATTCCCAATGATAAGGGGGACTGTCTAAGGATATAGGGTAAGCCATTTAGGACTAAGATGAGGAGAAATTTCTTCATCCAGAGAATAGTAGACCAGTGTAATTCTCTGCTGCAAAAAGCAATTGAGGCCAAAACTTTGAATGTTTCCAGAAGGAAGTTAGACATGGGGCTAAAGGCATCAAAGGGTACGGGGAGAGAAATGGGAACAGGGTACTGAATTAGATGATCAGTCATGATTATGTTGAATGGCAGAGCTGGCTCAAAGGGTTGAATGCCCTACTGTTGCTATGTTTCTATGATTCTAAATGGTACACGGCTGTGCATCGATGGTGGAGGGAATGCACATTTGTGGATGTTGTGCCAATAAAGCAGCTGCTTTATCCTGGATGGTGTCAAGCTTCTTGAATGTTCTTGGAACTGCAGTCATCTAGGCAAGTGGGGAATATTGCAACACACTCCTGTCTTCTGCCTTATATATGGTGGATAGGCTTTGGTGAGTCACTCACTGTACAATTCCTAGCCTCAGACCTGCTTTTGTAGCCACAATATTTATTTGGCTAGTTCACTTCAGTTTCTGGTCAATGAAAACTCCGGGATTGATAGTGGAGGATTCGGTGGTGGTAATGCCATTGAATGTCAAGTGACAACAGTTGGATTCTTTCTTGCGGAGATGGTAATTGACTGGCACTTGTGTTACAAACAAGTGTTACTTGCCGCTTGTCAGTCCAAGCCTGGATATTGTCCAGGTCTTGCTGCATTTGAACATGACTGCTTCAGTATCTGATGAGCCACAAATGGAGCTGAATGTTGTGTAATTATCAGTGACCATCCCCACTTTTGATCTTATGATGGAGGGAAGGTCATTGAAGAAGCAGCTGAAGATAGTTGGGCCTAGGACTCTTCCCTGAATAGCTCCTGCAGAGATGACCTGGAACTGAGATTACTGACTAGCAACAACTACAACCATCTTTGTTTGTACGAGGTGTGACTTCAATAAGCATCCACAAAGTATATGCAATTTTAGGATCTGTCCATGCTCCTTGGACAATAAAACTCAGTATTTAATTAATAATTGAGAAAGTTTTAACTTTACTCAGGAAAATAAATATAAATTTCATACAGTTAGCATTGATGTGCTATGAATAGGCCTTCTTGCTAGTGGCTTTGATGTTTTCCACATTGGAAAGAAGAGAAACAAGTTTATTGAGCAGCATATTTTTACTCTTCTTCTTGGAACAATTCAGGTTTCAAAAATGCATTACATCACAACAACAGGAGCTTGCATTTGTGTCATATAACTAATATAATAACATGTCCCTGAGTGCTTCGCAGGAGTATTATCAATAACATTTGACATGGCGATATGGGAGACATGAGGGCAGGTAACCATAAACCTGGTCAAAGAGCTGGGTTTTAAGGGGTGATAACAGAAAGAAAAGAGAAATAATGAGACAGAGAGATATAGATGGGAAATTCCAGAGCTTAGCACTCAGGAAACTGAAGGCATGAAAAAGAATTCTGTTGGTTTTCAGACAAATATGCTTTCCACAACAGTCATCATTACACTAGTGTATTTTTTAAAATTAGTTTTTATTTTGAATCAAGTATTTTTCCTCTATAATGACAATCAAGTGACAACATTGAGCCACAATGCTTTAGGGTGAAAAATCAACCTTGTGGTTTACAGATCTGTTCTAATGTCACTCTCTTCTATTAATAATTATCATCGCTTTCCTAATAATTTCCCTAATTTATATTCATCCTTGTCTGTCAGCGAGTATTCAGAAATCATCCAATTTTTTGTTTATTTCTATTTACATTGAAAATAATGATTTAAATTGTCTCAACTGCTTTAATGCAGTGTACTATTTAGTTACACTTCAAGCTGTTTCATAGCTGCATTGCACCCTTATCTGTTTTATTAACTTGCCTGCAGTTGAGACCAATAACTGCCATAATATCTTGACTGTTTTGAAAATTAGAGAATTTCTAAATATGAATATAAGTAATGACTTGAGTTTCCCATCCTGACCATCAAAAGTAAACTTGCCAGAAAAATTGTCACCCCCGCCCTGGTATGACTATTGAAGTACTCTCCCTTCTGTACCATTTACGAAAAAATCTTGGGGCTGTTTAGCATCTCAGTCTTTTCTTGTCCTTTTTATTCAGGGGATGTAAAACCAATATGTGTGCATATGCTTACTTACAGGTACATGGGTGGTTTTGAAATTATTTTCAAATATAGTCTTAACACTCCAGATTTAAGCAGAAGAGCCACATTATTAGTAAGACTGCAAAAATTGTGGTCAAGGAGGATGGGGAAGGCTTTTAACAACAAAATTCAGCATTCACAACTTTTGGCTACTGGTATTGAAACTGTGCTGTCCAATAGTAGCAAGCAAATGCTTATCTTATTCATCTTACATTTCTTTAATCCACTGACTTTGGTAGCAAATGAAGAAATTTTGAATACACTTTAATCCCACAGTGTAACTTCAAGGTCATTGTCATATAGAAACCATCAGTTTCGGAGTATCAAGAGTGCCTGTTGAAAAAAAAGTGATGACAATTTTTGGGTGCATTCAGGAAACTGCATCCAAAATTGCACGGGTGAAATTACTGTCCATGTTCACTAAAGGTTCCATCAAATTAATTAGTCTAATCAGTAATGTACTCCAGCAATCTGACAGTAATATAGCATGCAAGCATTTATCTGGTCTTTACAGTGTGTTCCTGGCATATTTAAGATTTGGTGATCCAGCCCCATTTTACTAATGCAGCTAAAAATGGGCCTATGACAAAATATAATCAAAAATAAGTGTGCAAACCTCCACCTGAAATTACCTGCTTTAAAATTACCAAAAAACATTTGAATGAGTCAACATAATTTTTTTTCTGTTTGCTCTATTGGTGCTAACAAATGCTTAATTAAATATTTTTTGATGTGAGCATAAAATATGTTCAAGTATCTCATGCCAAAATAGTTGGTGCAAATTGAAGAGCCTTTCCCAACCAGTGCAATTGATACGTGCCACATACTCTGAGTTCTGTCCCAATTTCCACCTCCTTGGCCAAATGTACCAATGGGCAATATGCGGATTAAAAATGCTCAGTGGTGGTGTCAGAAACCACAGATTGGCTGGGAAAATTCAATTACTGTGAGTGAGCAGGGAGGTGAGTTGAGTGAAGAGAGAGCTGGAGAGACTACCAATTCGAAGAGAGACACTGGAGGAGGAAGAGAATTGCAAAGTGGAGAGCGGGTTGCAAAGGAGTGAGAGGGTCTGAATAGAGAGAGAAATTTGAGAAAACATCTCTATACACTTCAAAAAAAGATATTTGAATTTCATGCAAATTAATATGGAGTGTCGAGAATAGAGCTGCAAGAGTTCAGTAGAAGTTCATAGAATCCCTACAGTGTGGAAACAGGCCCTTCGGCCCAAACAGTCCACACCGACCCTCAGAGCATCCCACCCAGACCCATCCCCCTCATCTACACATCCCTGAACACTATGGGCAGTTTAGCATGGCCAATCCACCTCGCCTGCACATCTTTGGACTGTGGGAGGAAACCCATGCAGACAGGGAGAATGTGCAAACTCCACACAGATAGTTGCCAAAGGTTGGAATCAAACCCGGGTCCCTGGGGCTGTGGGGCAGCAGTGCTAACCGCTGAGCCACAGTAGTTAGTATATGGGGAAAAATGCAGTGGATGTTATTTCAATGAACACTGACAGTTGTATAATATTGAACAGTTTTATTTCACATACATTTTGCATTTGTGTGTTACCCATCTCAAAGCATCTTACGTAAACTGAATTGCTTGAGGTGCAGTGACTGTGTTCAAATTAGACATACAGCAGTTTAGCTATGACTTCACTAGTGTGCAGAATGCATGTTTTTGTGTCCAGAAGAGTCAGTTTTTTTTAGTAAAAAGCATTTGTTGCTAACTTATGCCAGTTGTTTCATGCTAATTTAAGTATTGTGGTGTCTGGCAGACCAGTATTTTCCTTGTATGTTTTGGCTCTAAGTTTAATAGAATAATGATAATTATTGATGATATAGATGATTTCTTCTAATTCTGCTTCTGAGCAACCTTGTCTATTAAGACAGGTTGGTGGTGGTGTTGATAGTGAGGAGGATGGCCCCAGGCTATAGTCTGATATTGATCAGCTGGTAAACAGAGTGCAGCAATGCCAGATGGAATTTAATCCTCAAGTGTGAGGTAATACATTTTGAGAGGTCTAATAAGAGAAGATATACACAATGAATGGTAGGGCCCTCGGGAGCACTGAGGAATAAAGTGTCTTTGGTGTACAAATCCATAGATCCTTCAAGGAGTCAGCACAGGTAGACAGGGTGCTAACGAAGGCATATGGGATGTTTGCCTTTATTAGTTGGGATTAGAATATAGGAGCGAGGAAGTTTTGTTGCAATTTTATAAAACATTGGTTAGGCCATAGGTGGAGTTCTGGTTGCCCTACTTTTAGGAAGGACGTGCTGATGCTGGAAAGCGTGCAGAGGATATTCATCATGATGTTGCCTGGGATGGAAAGTCTCAGTTATGAGGAGAGACTGGAAAGGCTGGGTTTTTCTTCGAGCAGAGGAGGCTGAGGGAGGATCTGATTGAGGTATACAAAAATTATGAGAAGCGTAGTCATGATAAGTTATGAGAATTTTTTCCCCATGGCAATCATGTCTAAAACCAGAGGACATAAGTTTAGGTGAGGAGTAAGTGGTTTACAGGAGATCTGTGGAAAATTTTTTTTCACCCAGCGGGTGGTATAAATATAGAATTTGCTGCCAGAGCGAGTGGTGGAGGCAGGTACTTTCGTAACATTTAAGAAGCATCTGGACAAGCACTTAAAATGCCAGGGTACAGTAGGCTATGGACCAAATGTTGCAGGTACGTGGGATTAGTATAATTTGGTGTTTGCTGGTCAGCATAGACATGATGGGCCAAAAGGCCTATATCGATGCTGAAACACTTTATGACTATGACAAATACAATAGCCCTTGTTGCTAAGTGACTGCATCACTTTACTAAGGAGCTAGTGAGATTGAGAAAGGAGGCCGTGTAAACCAAAACTGAGCTCCTGAAAATCAAAATGAGCCCTAACAATATTTCAAGAGACTCCTGAGTTGTATTTGAGCCCTGGGTCTGATCTCTGCAAATTGGTCTTAAACTTAAGAATTGCTGGAAAATATGAGCATAAGTGGTTTCAACATAACTTATTTGAATTCAAAATTGGCCATTGTTGCTTGCATTAGCTGATGTTAATCATGCAGTTAGCTCAAGTTTGATATATGAAATAGTACGATTTCTGAAACACAGAATCAGTGATCTAGTGTACTCATCATAGTTGTATTGTCAAGCTCATTGTTTTCAAGACCACCAGCCTCTGTATTTAATGTCTAATTATTCAGCAAGCCATATGCTCATCATCAGTAGCATTTCAGTGTCTTGTACTATCATACAGTTTTAAATGCTTTATTCAGAAAGTGACCCTGAGTAGAGAGAAACTGTATCAGTGATCATTTCAGCCAATAGGTTTTCCCTTCACGAGGTCATTCATTAATGCTGTTGAATTAGTGGTTGACACTTCAATTCCCTGTTAGTCTCCTTACTCGCCTGCCAATCATCTGTCAGTGAAAGACCAGTAATGAAACTGCCTGGTTGCTGTGTGAATTGAAGCTATTACCATGACAACAACGCAATGGAGTATTTCCATGGTACACCACGTAGTGATAAATTACGAGATGTGCCATGTGTCATACGATTCTTGTTAGCTGTGATTAACTAATTTAAACAAACACAAATAATTCACCATTATGTAAGTGTTTGTCATGTGTTAGTCAGAAATCTTGAGCACGACTGATAATATTATCCTGTGCACTATTAACAGCAACATTAGAAAGGCAGATAAATGTTGTAGAAATTTGCTTTTTCCAAAGTCAGTGTTTCAATGATGCCATCAGTCCTTGCCTATAATGTGTCTGTCCTTTTAAATATGAACCAAAGCAGTAAGTGTGAACAGATGAATAGATCACAGCTAAGCATCATGGAAGAGCTTTACTGTCCTTAGCCAATGCGCCAAACACCTGTACTTCCTAGCAATCCTACCTCAAGGACATGGGAAGCAGTTATAGCATGGTTCACCTGTGATTATTCACTCTACACAGGCCAGGAATCAAACAGTTGGCCTTCCCAGTCTTGGAAACAGTAAGGACCGCAGATGCTAGAAGCTAGAGTCAATAGATGTGGAGCTGGAAAAGCACAGCAGGTCAGACAGCATCCAAGGAGCAGGAAAGCCAACATTTCTGGCCAAAACCCTTCGTCCGGACTGGGGAGGCGGAGGGGAGCCCAGAAATAAATAGAGAGGCGGGTGGGTCTTGAGGGGGGAGGATGGGAGGATGCACGTAGGGTGTTATTGTGGTTGGTCAGTGGAAAGGTTGGAGCAGATAGGTGAGAAGCAAGATGAACAGGTTGGGGATGGAGAGATTTTCAAGCTGGTGACGCAGGTAGAGGGTTATTGTAGTTGGTTAGTGGGAAGGGTGGAGCGGAAAGGTGAGTCGGAAGATGGACAGATTGGGGTTGGAGAGATTTTGAAGCTGATGAAAATATTCAGGCCATCGGGCTGTAAGCTTCCAAGGCAAAATATCAGGTGTTGTTCATCCAGTTTACATTTAGCCTCACTCTGACAGTGGAGGAGGCCAAGTATGGACATGTCGCAAGGGGAGTGGGAGTGGGAGGGGGAGTTAAAGTGGATGGCAACAGGAAAGTCGGGTTGGTTGGTACATGCAAAGTGCATGTGCTCCGTGAACCGGGCCCCAAGTCTGTGTTTAGTCTGCCCAATATAGAGGAGACCACATCGGGAACAACGAATACAGCAGATGAGGTTAGATTAAGTGCATGATCTCTGCCAGATTTGGAAGGATTGTTTAGGGCCTTGGACTGAGGTGAGAGGAGAGGTGTAGGGACTGTTGTTTCCCCTCCTCTGTTGTTAAGGAGGCCCTCAACTGCATCTCCCCATTTCCCACACTTCTGCCCTTAAACTCCCTTCCCGCAACAACAATAAGGATAGATCCCCCTTCGTCCTCACATATTACCCCACCCACCTCTTAATACAACGCAAGATCCTCCGAAATTTCCAGCATCTACACCCACCACCAAAAAGATATTTCCTTCCCCACCCTGTCTGCTTTCCGCATGGACTGTTCACTCTGCGACTCCCTCGTCAGCTCCACACACCCCACCAACCCCACTACCGCACCTGGTATCTTTCCCTGCAAACACAGGAGGTGCTACACCTGCCTCTACACCTCCCCTTCATCTTTGTCCAAGGCCCAAAACAATCCTTCCAAATCCAGCAGAGATTCACCTGCACTTCATCTAACCTCACCTGAAGTATCCATTGCTCCTGATGTGGTCTCCTCTGTATCGCAGAGACCAAATGCAGACTTAGGGACCGGTTTATGGAGCACCTGCGCACTGCATGCACCAACCAACCCAACCTTCCTGTTGCCATCCACTTTAACTCCCCCTCCCACTCCCCTGGTGACATGCCCATCCTCAGCCTCCTCCACTATCAGAGTGAAGACAAACATAAACTGGATGAACAACACCTGATATTTCACCCTGGGAGCTTACAGCCCAATGGCCTGAATATTGACTTCACCAGCTTCAAAATCCCTCCACCCCGAACCTGTCCATCTTCTGACTCACCTATCCGCTCCACTCTTCCCACTGAGCAAACACAATAACTCCCGACCTGCATCCACCTATCCTCATCCCATCCAACCTACCCCCAGCCCCATTCCCCCTCCGTCTTTTTATTTCTGGGCTCCCACCCTCTCCCCAGTCCTGACAAAAGGTTTCGGCCTGAAACATTGATTGCTGCTCGAATGCTGTCTGGCCTTCCCAGTCTGTATGTCTTAGTAACAAATAAGCTGTGTTAATAAACAGAAGAAAGATATGGCATGGTTCTCATTCCCAATCACTATTCAATTAATCCAACTGTAAAATTTTACTGTGTGTAATAAGTCTGAAGAGGAGTATGAACATAGAATTGAAAACAACACTTGAATTTCTTGTTGATAACAGCAGACCAGTATTCCAACACAGGCAAGGAACATTCTCGTACGTTTCCTTTTTAATACAGCATTAACTGTTTATTTTAAAATGTTTGATGTTTCTGCTAAAATGCTAAACCAGAAATGTTGAACAAACACATCAAGTTTAAATACTTAAGAATAACAACAAGTAATTTTTGAGTTTAGTCACCTGTCCCATTTGTTTTTATTTGATAGATTATAGCTGAATATAACTGCAGGACTGAATAATTGCATCTATAATGTGACTGACCAACCAAAAGCTGTACCTTTAATTTTATTTCTTTTAAATTAGCCTTCCGAAAAAAGCAAAAGAATGGATTCCGAGATTTCATTCCACTTTTTCTGAAAGTGCAAACACGAAGCCAGTCTGGTATGTATGTATTCTGCTATTGCAGCAGAAGGTTAAATATATTAATTATTCATATATTTTAGTCTGAATTAAGACATTATTATTTTATAAAACTAACATTGTGCTTGAACCAGAATAAAAGTCAAATACTGCAGGTGCTGGAGATCTGAAATAAAAGATATTGCTGAAAAATCTCAGCAGGTTCATTAGTATCTGTGGAGACAGAAATAGTTAATGTGATCGGTCCAATGTGATTTTCTTGTAAGAACACTTGGGCCAGTTGTTGTTTGTGATTCTGTGCTTAAATCTTGAATGTGTTTATATGGCCTCAAATAGCAACTAATGTTTATAATATTCGTATCATACAACGTTGTGGTCTGCAACTAACAATTGTGTTCTGAAGACTATTTATATTACATAAGAAGAACTAAACAAACCAGACCCCCTTCCCACATGTATATCTGTCACCCACTCTTTGTGAATAGAATTATGAAAATGTTTCCAAGGGAGAAGCTTGACCCACAATAACTGTCAGAAACGACACTAGGTTATAATCCGACAGGTGTTTGAAAACACAAGCTTTCAAAATTTTCAAGTTTTCAAATAAACCTGTTGAACTATAACCCGGTCGTGTGATTTCTGACTTCGTCCACCACAGTCCAACACCAGCACCTCCACATTACAGTAACTGTGCCACAGGTACCATTCTACACTGCAGCTGCTTTCATCCCACTCCTTACTCTTGCCATGTACCCTTTGATATTTTTCTTCAAATGTTTATCTTGAATCAGTTGTGGTAATCTCTGACAATATTGTAATGAATAGTTTATTAATCCTATAGATGAAAAATTGATCCCAAATTCCTTTTTATGTTCTAATACTAATATCCATTTGTTTCCAGTTTACTGACCAGTCCAATTTGTTTTTAATTACGCCTGAAAGCTATTTAAACTTTACTTGTTAAAGCACAGTTTAACCTTTCACTCGTAGTTAACACAGTTCTGATTTTTCAAATTTTTGACAGCTATATTTCCTTATTCTAGCAAATATTGTTGTAAATTGACCTTGCATCTTTTCTGATAACAGGGTTCTCCAAACTGCTCAAGGTTCTCTAGTTCTAGCAATGTGGTCTGCTTTTATCTTGCAACAGACTTCTGGGTTGTAGGGGTTTGTTTTACGTTGTTAGTTTTCCATGCTTCACATTGTACTTATGAAAACCTCTTGAACTCTTCTTACACTCTATCTTATAGATGTCTTTTATTTCTTTGATTTGTCTAATTATGCTTTAGTTATCTCTTCAGTTTGCACTTTTTAAGTATTTTCAAATCTCCACAGTGTCTCAGGTTATTTCTTTGTCTTCTGTGTGCGCATGTGTGATTTTGTATCCTTCACCCCCACCGTGTGATTTCTCTTAAATGCTGTTCATTTGTAACATTGTTCAATTCCAGAAGAGTGATTTTTGCTTGAAATCTGAATTATCTCATATTTTTTAAAAGTAAAACAAAAGACTACAGACATTGAAAATCTTCAACAAAAATAGAAATTGCTGGAGAAACTCAGCCAGTCTGGCAGCATGTATGGAGATAGGAACAAACTTAAAGTTCGAGTCTGAAGAAGGTTAACTGGACTTGAAACATTAACTCTGTTTTCTCTCTGCTAGACCTGCTGAGTTTCTCCAGTGATTTCAGCTTGCAGTTTTTTGATGTGTCACAAGATCAGTTAAGTACATGTAGCATAATCTGGTTTTGTGGTCTGTGATGTTTGTGCGGATTAATTATGCTTCTTTTCATTGAATGCTGATCTAAAAAATAAAATCATAGTCTTCTGGTTTCGCGTAGAAAAACATCAAATTTTAAAGAAATATCTTTGTGCACTCTAGAGCACTCTTTTTTCCAGATTAATAGTGTAAAGTTGGATATAGAATCTCTTTGTACCTTCATCCAAGTCATTTTACATACTTATCAGTCAGTAGAATTGTCTGATAACCCTTCTAGATATCCCTTCCTTATACATTTTGCAATTGTATGTTGCTGCTCCCTTTCTCAATCTTCCTATCCCATTTAAAATCTGATAGCCTGGAATTCCATATTTAACATTCCTGAAAACGCTGGTATCAAAATTGGAAATTTCACGTAACTGGCAAAGATAAACTGTCGATACTTATCTGCAGCCTTTGACATGACTGACCACACTACCTTCCTTCAGCACCTCCCCTCTATTGACCAGCAGTGGGCTGAGTGTACTTGGTTTATCTATCTTAACTATTCTTAGCTGTCTAATCATTGTCAGAGAATCACTTCTTTCCCTTCTACACAATTACACCTGGTGTGCCCAAAGGATCTATCCTGACCCCCTCCTATTTCCCAACCAAAAGCTGCCTTTGAGTGTTACAATCATGGAACCTGATACTGACATTTTCTATGCACTTCCTTATACTCATCAAGGTATCTTGGCTCCTGTTTAAGCAATGATTAATTTTTTAAAAATACTGTTCCCTTGTTTTCTAATCTCTCCCTGATCTCTTCCATCCCCACAATCCTAAGATGTCATGGTGCCTAACTAATTCTGGCGTCTTGAGCATCTGGAATTTATAATTGTTCTACCATTGGGGGCTGTGCTTCAGTTGCCAAGACATTAATTCTGAAGTTCCTTAATAAACATCTTTACCATTCTTTCCTCCTTTTAAAAACTCACTTATTTCACCAAGCTATTGGTCACCTGCCCTAATGTCATCTTGTCTAGCTCAGCACCAAATTTTGTTCGATAAAACCACTGAAGTACCTTGGTGTATTAAAGGCATTGTAAAAATCTAAGTTATAGGCATGTTTGAATATTCCATTCTTGTATCCAAACATCTGCAATGTCTCCTACATTTCAATAATATTGAATTTGTATTTTAATTCCTTTATTTACTCTAAATGCATCTGTATTGGGTAATGCTTATTTGAATGCTTGGTGCCCTATGCCTCAAATTTAGATGCACATAATCATATTCAAATCCCATTGCTGACTGTATTCTGTAGTCTTATAATTCTCTGAGCATTTCATCAGTTTCTTTTATTCAATCATAGGATGCCAGTGATGTTGGCTGGGCCAATATTTATTGATTATCACTAATTTGCCAAGAGAGCAATTAAGATTCATCAACATTTCTGTGGGTTTGGAGTCACATGTAGACCAGACTAGGGCTAGCAAATTTCCTTTCCTAAAGGATATTAGTGGAGCAGATGGGTTTTTATGACAATTGACAGTGGTTACAAGGTTCCCATTAGATTTCTTTCAATTCAAGTTTTTTTTAAAAATTGAATTCAGATTTCACCTTGAACCATGGTAGGACTCAAATCATAATTCCAGAACTCTATTCTGGGGCTCTGAAGTATTAGTCAGTCACAATACTATTATGCCACTGCCCCCTTATTTTAACATTTGGTAAATTTGCCATTATTGGTGTGAGGCCATTTTGTCTATAGTTCCTTGGTTTGTTCTTTTACGACTTTGTGAAAGGTGTGACAATTTGTCATCCTACTGTTACTGTTGACCTAAGTATTCTAGTGTTTATACCATGCCTGTTTGTTTGTCATAAGTAAAATTTGCCCTGGTGTTTTCAAAGAATTTTGTTCATTATCAAACATAAGATACTGAAATGTACCTGAGAACTAATCAGCCATATTTTACTACAGATGATCTAGATGGCAACGAAAAATACCTAGATGGGTTGGTTGAAAAGTATAAAAATGGAGAATATTGGACAGATCAAACCAATACAGAGAGTTCCACCACTCAGAAAGAATCAGCTTCGAATGAGGAGTTTGAAAAAACTCTACGAACTTATCATCACAATGATGCTAGCTGTTGTTCTGAGTTGAGCTGTGAGAAGAATGCCCAATATTGCAAGGAAAGGTTACAGGACAAACAGAATGAAATAAGCACTCATGAAGTACAATCAGAGATGAAGGACCATCATGAGAATTGCATCAGTCAAGCTGTGCAGCCAGACACTTCCAAGACTAAAAGAAAAAGACGAAGTTCCATCACTGGTAAGAATAATATTTTACACTTTAGTTGCATATGTATTATAATTATGAGAAAAAAATAAAAGGTCTGTCAGTTAGAATGAGTAAAATATATCCTGTATTTCAAGACAGGTTGAAAATCCATTCCTTATTCAAATATCCAGCTGAATAAACACCTCTGGCATAAATTCCAAATATATCTTTCTGTTTGATATATACACAAAAGATTTCAAAGTTCCTTCTCCTTTTTTTGCATTTTGAATAAACACTTTGAAGGCATTTGAATCCTTAGAATGCCTAAACAGCCTCAGATGTTGCAAAAGTGCAAATACCATTTTGTTAATGTTTTCAATTTATTAACACAAAATATTGCAAAAAGAGATTTCAAAACAACTTGCAAAAATCAGATTCAAAATCACTATTCTTTGAGCAAAATGAAAATGATAACTGTATATTTTAAGTTTTGGTCCAGAACTGCTTGCTTGGATGTTAAAAAAACTAGTATTTCAAGAGTAATAGTTGCTATTGTAGGCTGTCGAGTACATTACTGGACTCTATTGCTGAGACTCCAGGCTCAAATTTTGGCTTAATTTAGTTGTTCCAGCTGGTTTATTTCCTCAGATCTAGGATATTCTGTTAAATTGAATATAGCACCATGTAGAAATATCTCTTCTCCATTTGTTGTGAGAGAGAATTTATGGGAGATGAGCACAGAGGAAAAGCCCACTGTTTGGGTTGTCCTGACCAAAGAGGATCATATGGTGTTACAAAGAGAACCAATATAGTGTATTAGCAGAGAATCAATTACTTTTAAAGGATAAGTTGACAGTGATTAAATCTTTGCCTACTTTTTTTGTACTTCTAAATTCCTTCAATTTTCAACTTACTTTCTCTGAACTAGCCATTCTGCAACTATTATTCTGGACAGTGAGTGGTAGTTGTCTTTGACCATGAGGAAGATATCATAGCAGCCCAGTCACATTCCCGTAAAAAGTACATATGAAATGTAGGAAACACTGAAAGACAGTGAGCAGAAGCACCACATCGTTCTTGTTATTATTTTAGCTTCCTAACTTGGCAATACTGAAGTAGCTGTAACACCCCTACCTGTAACTTGGCTGATCATTTAATGCAGCACAGAATCTGGATTGAGCTTGAATTTTCCTAGGCTGTACCATGCTACACAGTATACTGATCCATCAGGGGATTCATTCTCGCTAAGTTAATGACAACAAAAAACTTACATCTTCAAAGACAGCTGATGGAATTTCTGTCTCAACATAATACCCTTTAGATATTGGCCATTCATTTTATATAGAAAATAAATAACAGTTTAGGTTCAGCTTCCTGTCAAAGCTATCCACCTGTAAATGCACTATAATAGGAGAGGAACACGTTTCTTAATTTAAATATTGTGATTTACTTTCTTCAGGAGCTGTGCTACATGCAAGGAAAATCTAAATTCTAAGTACAGAACCTTATCCTTCAAGTCATCCGTATTTTTTATATTAACTTTATAATAATAGTGATTACAAATTTGAATAAAATTGAGAATCTTCATAAGATAATTAAGTTATATTGCTGTCTTTAAATAGTTAACACTTTCATTTGATAAAATGAACTTTAGAGTTACTGAGAATCTCATTTTTCCAGTATCATGTTGTGAATACAGAAAATGATGCACTAGTATTATTTAGAATACATAATTTTTTTATCATTATGGTCGTCTCTTGGTAAAAATGTTAGTGCTACATCGGGGTTTGTCTGTAGTGTTATTAGCTGTAGGGCATGTTTCATTGTCCTGAACTATTTTCACAGTAGATGAATGGACTGAGAAGGAGATGAATGATGAATCCACAGACAACTCAGAAGACTCACATTCAAGTGAAGTAACAAACCTAAAGGTGTGCATTGAGCTGACAGGACTGCATCCCCGCAAGCAAAGGCACCTGCACCATCTAAGGGCACTCTGGGAGCAGCAAGTGTCTCCTGACAGATCCACTCCCTCCAAGTCAGGTCGGCTCAGTAAGAAAGAGTTAGCTGGGGCCAAGGAGCCAGAGTTCATGGCAAAGGAAACTGAAGTCAAAGACAGGGTAGAAGAAAGAAACACCAGGAAAGGATCTGAGGCCAAATCCAGCAGAATTGGATCTGAGGAGACCTTCAATAGAAATGACATTGAAAAAGGTATACTTGTAACCTGGAGAAGTCTGTATATATTTTTTCTTAATTCCCAACATACCTATCATACTTTGCTGAGCAAAGTGAAAGTTCTTACAGTACCCACAATTCACTCTTTAACTAAATATGAAGCTGTCGAGGAGAAGGAATTCTGAAATGTTAAAGTACTTCAGTGAAAGAAATTGAAGTACATTGACTTCAATGTATTTATTTTTCATCCTGGCCATTTCTTAACAAAGAGTTAAGTGCTTTCATGCAATTATCTATTTATTGATGGCTCCCTTCTTTCATTTCTTTCCAAATCATTTAACACAGTGCATCCTGTTTCAGTTTTGAGGATAAGATTGTCTAGCCTGTGGGCAGGCCTACAACCACAGTCAGTATTAATTCAAGGTGGTTGACAGAATGTCCTTTTCAAATTGTCATATCAGGTGATAACCAATCATCACTTTTCAAAAAAAAGGGAAGAAAGTGTTTGATACGCTACTCCAACTAAGTAACTCAACTAAATACTGGTGAATTGACCTGACTGAAGCAAACAGATATGAGCATCAGGCTGAATTAAAGCTCACATTTGGGATTTCCACTTTGGGGTGTTGGCTCCTTAACTAAATTGACCATAATATAATCAGGTCAATAATTGAATACTTTGAAAATGTAACATTTGGCCTGTCAGTTGATGAAATACAGTTTCTCGACTGTCTGTTGAGCTTCATTGGAACAATGCATACAGCCAAGGACAGAATGGTCAACGTGCAAGTAGCATGGAGGATTAAAAGACACGCAACTGGAAACATTGGGTCATTCTTGTGGACTAAATGAAGGTGTTCAGCAAAATGGTCATCCAGTCTGTGTTGATCTTGCCAGTGCAGAGAAGATTACTTTGTGTGCAGCAAATTTATACGCTAACTTGAAAGAAGTACATATAAGTCTCTGTATCCCCTAGGACTGTTTGGGACCCGGATGTTGGGATGGTAGGAAAAGGCAGGTATTGCATCTCATGCTTGTGTGGAAAATGGAAACGGGTGTTGGGCTGATGGAAAAGTGGATCCAGGTATCACTGAGGTAACAATCCCATCAGAGTGTTAAGCGAGGAGAGAAAATGTATTTGTCAGTGGCATTATGTCAGAGGTGTCAGAAATGGCAGAGACGATCTGCTGAATGTGGATCTTGGTGGGATGGAAGGCGAAGATGAGGAGAATCCTATCATGCTTCTGGAAGGGAGGCGAGAGGGTGAGACCAGAAGTGCAGGAAATGGGATTGACACAGCCAAGAGTGCTGTCAACCACAGTGGAGGACAATCCTCAGTTGAGGAGAAAGGAAGACATATTGAAACACTAGTGTGGAAGTGGCATCATGAAAGCAGATGTGATGGAGAAACTTTGGAGAAAAGAATAGACCAGAATTAATATGAAGCTGTCCAAGAGAAGGAGTTTGAAAATAATAAAACATTCACAGTAAAAAAAATTACAAAGTATAATCAACTAAGAAATTCCATTTGGTCAGAGTATTAAACATGTTTCGTATATCCAAAATGGATTATGTAGTTATTGAATTTGAGTTGAAACACCAGCACTGATTTTCTGAGGGCATGTTCTACAAACTGAGGTCATTGCTGAAGTACTTGCACAGCAGCCTGTTTTTGCAAGTTTATGCAAGTCTCTTTAAAAGAAAACGACACTGATTTTCACTCTTGTACTCTTCTTGCACTACATGATTAATTTCTGAAAGAGTGATAGAAAGAAGGAGAACCGTTTATCTGCTTTTCGTTGACTACTGGTTCAATTGAAGGTGTTGTATTTTATAATATATTTAGTATTTTGTACTTTTTCCTGCTCCCTCCCTTCTCTGTTTGTTTATTTCGGTGGTTTTCTCATCTTATTCAAAATTGCTGAACTTTTTCAAAAGTGACATGTTAGTCCTCTTTTCTGGTTAATATGACCGATTAGCCATTTTTATGTTGGCTTGTTGCATATTTCTGATGGCAAATGCATGAATGTAGAGAAATGTCAGGTGCACGCACAGACTGGAATCACAGTTGATCACAAGCTGTGTCCAAGTTGTAGTGTAAGTAGCAAAGTGATAGTAAAAACATGGAACTTTTTTTTAACCTAGGGCCATTGCGTACAAAAGCAGAGAGGTAATATCAAACTCATATAACTTTCTTGGGGATCCCATTAAAGAGCAATGGCTCTCAGAAAGGGTACAGATAAAAATTGCTAGGCTGTGTCAAGTAGGAATTAGTCATGAGCAGACACTTCAGAAATTGTTACCTTTTTTAAAATAGACCTTGGAAAGTTAGGAAGTGATCTGATAAAGGTTTTCTAAATTTTGAAAGGTTGTAATAAGGTAAGTAGTAAGTGCTGGTGGATTATTAACAGGATTCAGTTGGGTTGTAACCAGAGACCAAAAATTTAAGGTTACATTGAAAAAGTTAAGGGGAAGGTTTGAAAAATATCCTGTGATTAGAATGTAGAATTCCTCGCCACAAATTGTTGTTGTAAAAGAATGCATAAATTACTTTGGAAAGAAAAAGATGAATATTTAACGATATGGAGAGCGAACTTCCCATTAGCCATCCAATCGTCTGGCATCCCAATATGCTACATCCTACACCATGACCTTTAATTTTCTGCAATAACTTTGATGTGGTACTTTATCAAATAGATTCTGCAAATCTAAGTACAGGACATCCGCTGGAACTCTGGTCATAGCATATGTTACATCCTCAAAGAATTCCAATAAATTAGCCCAACACTATTTCCCTTTCACTAAAGCACGTGGACCCTGCCTGATTACCTTGAGCTCATCAAAGTGCCCTGTTTTAGTGCCTAACGTTTTCCCGATGACAGATGTTAAACCAACTGGCCTGTAGTTTCTTGCATTCTGTCTCCAGCCCTTTTTGAATAAAGCAGTTTATTCTGCTCTCTTTCAATCTAATATCATGAATTAAAGGAGTTTTAGAAAAGTAAAAACACAATTAATCAACTCCTCACTGGTACTACTTTTAATATGAAGCCCATTAGGACCCAGGCGCTTGTCAGCTGCAGCTCTGACAATTTACTGAGTTCTGCTTCTCTGGTGATGATTTTTCTAAGTTGTTTCCCAATTTGTTGTTGCTTTTGGGATGTTACTTGTATCCTTTGCAATGAAGATTGATACGAAATACCTGTTCAATTAATCTTTTCTTCCCATTAATAAATCTTCATTCTGACTTTCTGTCGGACCAGCAGTAACTTTATTACCTCTACTTGTTCAAATATTTATAAAAACTCTTAGTCTGTTTTTCTACATTTCTTCTGGCTAGCTTTCTCTCATGCACTAACTATCCCATCTTTATTAATATTTGTATCATTCTTTGTGTTTTTTAATAGTCTGTCCAATCTTCTGACTTGCCATCTGTCTTTGCTCAATCGTACGATTTTCCTGGTATGTTTAATACTATCTTTGGATGAATATGTCTCTTGGGATTTTTATTATTTGTCTGAATATATTTATTCCATATGTTCTGAAATATCCACTTAAATGTCTGCCTCAGCACCTCCATTAAACTATCACTTAACCTAATTCACCAAATCACTGTAGTCAGCTTTCCTTTGTGATCTCATAATTCCCCTTATTTAAATTTGCAAAAATAGGCCACTACTTTTTCCCTCAAATTGAATCCAAAGGCTCTTGTGTTGCAGTGGTAGTGTCCCCACCTCTGAGCCAGGAGGCCTGTGTTCAAGTTGCACCTGGCTTCAGAGGTGTGCAATAACATTACCAAGCTGGTTGATCAGAAAATATCCCAAATTGAATGTAAAATTAATAACGGTGTGGTCACTGCTACCTAAGGCTGCCTTTACTATGAAATCATTATTACTGCTACCTCACTGCACAATACCATGTCTAGTACAGTCTACTCTCTGGTTGGCTCCAGAGATTGCAGTTTGAAGAAGCTGTCCTGAAAGCATTCTATGATCTCCTCATCTAGACTACTTTTGCTCATCTGACTTTTCCAGATGATATGTAGATTAAAACAGCACTCCCGTAAGTGATATCATTCCCCATCTCAACTTAAACTAATTCCATATCCTGGTTTCCTGAACTTTAAGTCATCCCTTTCTTTTGTGCAAATGCCACCATTAACTAACAGAACCTTCACCTTTCCCAAGCCTCCTGTCCACGCTAAATGCTCATCTTCCCTGTTATGCTCTTATACACATTTTATTCAAATTATTCTTTAAATTCTAAGTTGCTTTTTGCAATTCCTTTGCATCTTCTAGTTTGGGGATGATCTGCAAATGTGATTCCTTCACATTGAGTTATCTAATCTGGCATTTGTCAGCTGCTGTTTATTGAAATGTTCTTTGGATGCAAAAGATCTTTGACCTCTGTGATCAAGAGAATGAGATGGCCTAGCAGCAGGCTTTGTTACCTTGACAGCCTTGACATCAGCAGGGGTGGTAGAAGGCTATCGATGTGCTGTAAACAACATTTTTGGCCTGGCTCCTAGTGGTACTACTTAACACTGTCTCCATATGTCTGTGTGACAACAGACTCAATAACAGCAGTGAAATGCATCAGATTTTGTGCTAACCGCAGCACCTTATTATTACGGCCTTTGTTATTATAGGCTGTGTTGCAAATGGCCCTGGTGTTGCTTAATAATGCACTGCAAAGTTCCTATCACTCGCAATGTAAACAACAAGAACACATGTTTTCTGAAGATTCTAACAATAGCTTTTCTTTGCTGAAGGCTGCCAGGAAAACTGCCTAATGAATTTATCATTTTTTCACACTCTGTAATCATTCTTTTCTAAGCAACCCACTTGAAAATTGGATCTTTATCCTCCAATGGCTAAAAACAGCCATGAGCCAACCTTCTGATCAGATGATTCCTGGTCCTCGGCACATCATCCAGAGTAAATTCCTCAAACTCTCTATCAATTACAACCCTCACTTTTTACACTTACCTATCCTGCTACTTTGCAGTATTTGAATAAAGGATGCAATTTGATGTGAGTTCTGTCTTTGGCCCATGCTTAGCTTCCAGCTCTAAAGCAGGATATGAATAGGAACAAATGCACCAATGATATATTCATGACAGTTTTATGAAATGTAGCTAAATATGTTGTGTTCACTTTGTTAATGGAATTCATATTTTAGGGAGTAATGAGTGAGTAACTGAACAGCAGGAAACAAATTAAAGATAACTAACAGTTATGAGTTTCCTGTTTTCTCTCCTATCTTGATGGTCTCCATCCCTGGTTTTAAAGAATCTCCCCTCAAATATACTAAAAATAATTAGGTTTAGAAGTTTTCCATTCATACATGTATTCTTCTCTTGTTACACTCAGTCACCTTCTGATAAATCAGCGACTTTAATGGCATGAAATACTACTATGGTGGTATCCATCGGTATTGACGTATTAGATATGTGCATCATACAGGAACTTTACACAGAATAGATGTCAGGAGATGGAGTTGTTGAAAATGTTACTGAAGGTGTTCTTGGGCAAGAGCAGTGTTATGACTGGTACATGAGTATAATGAAGAGTGGGTTAAGGCTGGAAAAATATTGTAAGATGATTTGGGTGGAATGGAGCTTTTAATCCATTAATACTTAATATACCTGATGTTTAATGAGGTTACAGTAAGGTACTCAATCTTTGAGCCATACTGAGGATATTAAACTTCTGGCATTGAAGCCATGACAATGTGCTAAAATAATTGTTACCTGCCATGACCTATGAGTAACCAAACCCAACCTGCATCCTATCTCCAGTTCATCAGTGTGAAAAAATCCTCTTCCACAAATGCCAAAGCAAAGGTGCTACTATCACCACTTACCAATATGATTCTATGCTTTATGAAGCTAATTCCACCCTCCATTCCAAAATGCAAAATTTTCCAATCCCTAATGATGATTGACCATTCTATGTTAAGGCATTGGAACCAACATTATTGGCAATTTTAGAATTAATCAGGTTGGCATTTGCAAATAATGTGCTGACCTGTTTATATCTGCAGTGCTGAAATATGCAAAAATCAATCTTATTCTTTTTTCTATATATATGTCTCTTATTGTAAACCTATATGAAATGTCCATTAATTCCAGAACACTTTATTCTGTGCCTGGCCACTGAGTGTATCAGATCTATAGAAGGATTAAAAAAACTAAAAATTTGGTGAATATTCAAGTTGCAAAAAGGCAATATCTACAAACTATTTATAAGATTGTGAAAATCATTAAATTTCAAGAACCTATCGCTAAAAATTGTTAACTATTTTTAGGTTTATCTACACCTCCAGCATCTCCAAGGAAAAGGACAATTTCATCTGGCATGACAAGCAGCAACTGGCAAGTACAGCGAAAGACAAGCACACCAGCATCACGATCATCAAATAAACGGCAAAGAAACAAGGAAAGCCGCAAGCGTGGTGTCTCGTGTTCTGGAGAGGAAGAGGACCATCTACATTCACCAGTTTCACCAAAGTATTCAAGCACCGAACGGGAGAAACCTTCAGGAAAGCGCCAATGTAAAACAAAACACCTAATGCGTCAGGATAGAAGACGGTCATCACTGACAGCAGATGACTCAACTGATGTTGAGAGCTCAGAAGAAAAGGTATAAGCTTAATTTATTTGTATTTTCACGCAGGATCTGACAGGTCACAGACACAAGCCCATAGGAAGATAGTTCCTGTAACAAATTTGTATCATCCTTCGGTATAGATGAAGAATCATAAAAGCAAAAGCGAAATATTGCTAAAATTCAAAATAAAAACTGAAAATACATAAGGCAGGTGACATCTGTAAAGGAAAACAGTTAATGATTCAGGTCAGTGATCTTCCATCAGAACTGAAGGATGGTAAAAATGTAAGATTTTTGAAGCTAGTGTAGAGGGAGACGGGAAAGGAAAAGCCATAAGATCAGTAATAGATTGGATCACAGGTGTTCTTCCTGCCCCCTCTTCTCCTCTTAAAACCTCTTACATTTCTATATTCCTTCTATTGTAATGAAGTGTCATTGAACTGAAAAATGTTTATCTCCACAAGCCCTGTCTGACCTGAGTGTTTCTGGCATCTTTTGTTTTTATAATAAGAATATATTTGTTACTTACATAGGTGGTGGCAGAGTGTACATGAACAATATCAGTAATTTGAAAGTAATTAATCAAATATTAGTTAAACTTCATATGACCAGATTCATCTGCTGGTTTAATTAGAAATTATGCAAATTGGTGTTGTGCTGAACCATCTAGATCTCTCAAGTTTAGATTCAGTCCCTGATCTTTCCTGAGTTATCTAATGTCGGTGGTGGCACCAGTTTGGCCAGTACTGTTAACAAGTACATAGCCCAGGAAGTGGAATAAGCAGCTAAGGTTCCTCCTCCTAAATTCTGCCCAGTGATCCCAGCTCAGAGATATTTTTTGACATCAGTTGAAGCTAAGATTGAACTCTCTGATGCTGCCAGCAGTTGAATGCTTTAACAAAACTTATTAAAGAATGGCACAGTAGATTGCTGCTCTTGGAGCTGCACTCCAGAATAATTGTCACCTCCTGGAAGAGGACTAATGAACAAATGTAAAATAGATATGGTAATTCCTAAGCTATAAAATATTAGCAGATAAAAGCAGTGTACTCTTTTAACCTGAATGTGAACCTATGATCTATTTACTGGCCTATAATTTCTGTAGGGATTTCCCTTAATTGTAGAAAATGCTCAATGATTATAAACAATGGTAATTTTAGACTGGTGTGTCTTGTCCCATCAAAAATGATTCTTTAAGAACTGTTATGTTTATTGTGGAAATGCTTTTCTGTTCACTGACATTTTTAATCATGTTTCTGTGTTGCAGTACATACCTTTGCATGTTCAAACCGTTACACTATTGTAAAAGCATAATTTTTTAACATTGAATTATTTCCACTAGACTCTACAGAATTCCACTCTAAATTAAGCTGCCATTGAAGGTTAGGGTGTATTGGAGGCCCTCAGTTTTTCTCCCTTGTTCCCTAAATCGCAGTTTACCAACTGCTGGGAATGGAGACAGGAAAATTTTAGTCAATCAGTGCAGGTGCACAAGAATTTTTTTGGCACTATAGGTTTCTTCACAACATTGTTGTTCTTTCCATCAAAATAGTGGTGCAGCAGAGGTACTAAATCCTTTCTTCTAGGAATAGTGTGTGTTTAAAAGAACTTTTTTGTTGGTATAATTACATATCTATCAGAGCTAGGATTGGTCTCTTGAAAAGAAAAGCTTGCATTACCTGATCACTTATTACATCTCATAGAAAGGTCAGTATATCTGCTATACCCTGAGTCCTTTGGACGTTTTCTTACATGTGCTTAAAAGATCCAATAACTATAACAACCTGCCTGAAACAACTATAGCCACCCCTTTATTGTCTTTATTGTGATGAAAAGGAGCTTGTTATTTCATTGGGGAGATTATTTTTTAAAAAACCCTTCTTTATCCCAATGAATCCAGCTTGTGGTTCTCAGATAAACCTTAATCCTTCATTAACTCACTTTCATCTGAATGTAACACTTCAATTTAACTTTATATCCTCATGAAGTAATAGTTAAAAGTTTTGAATAAATGAAGAGTTTCACCATGTAGTGCAGTAGTGAATTGCATAAATGCAAAAATGCAAATTTAATCCTTAGGCTATGATATGTTAAGCTGTTTTTGTCATGAAGACTGTAAGTGTGCTACCTTGACATCTCCATGTAGGGAACAAGAGATTTTCCATTCTTGATCACTAAATTAGACTTTGTAAAAATGTTTGTTGGTGTAGAGTTCACAGGAGTGCAGTCAGAAACATAGAAACATAGAAGATAGGAGCAGGAGGAGGCTATTCGGCCCTTTGAGCCTGCTCTGCCATTCTTCACGATCATGGCTGATCATCCAACTCAATAGCCTAATCCTGCTTTCTCCCCATAACCTTTGATCCCATTCGCCCCAAGTGCCATATCTACTCGCCTCCTGAATGCATTCAGTGTTTTGGCATCAACTACTTCCTGTGGTAATGAATTCCACAGGCTCACCACTCTTTGAGTGAAGAAATATCTCCTTATCTCTATCCTAAATCGTCTACCCTAAATCCTCATACTGTGACCCTGGTTCTGGACACACCCACCATCAGGAATATCCTCCCTGCATCTACCCTGTCCAGTCCTGTTAGAATTTTATAAGTCTGTATGAGATCCCCCCCTCTTTCGTCAGCTTGATGAACTAGCCTTGGTGACAAACCAGGGAGACTTTAGTGGTCATGGAACCATGCATGCTTATGGGCTCAGTTAGGTAATAATCAGAAGGAGAGAAAATGCACTGTTGTGTTCAACATTTCTTCACTGAAGTGTTCAATATTAATTATTTTCTTCCAACAAATCTAATACACCCGTCAGATATTAAATTGGCTTGGGATTTCAAAAATCAAAATACTAAATTTTATTTCACATCTTTTCTTAAGATTGTGCACAATTACATTAAAAACTGGATAAAGATATTGTTGTGTCATAAATTTTGGAATTGTTTCATTTGACATCCGGTGGAAGTTACACATGGATGGAAACAATTATTGGTAATTACACACTTAAGTTTCCTGGTTCTTTGTTTTCTTGGTTAGCAATTCTGTACACACATCTGTGGGGTTGTTTGGTTAATGTGGAACAGAACTTGCTGTGGATCCAATTACAAGACATGCGCCACTTCCAATATCTGTCGTATGAGAGGGTTAAAATGGGGACAAACTGATCATCATTTTAAATTATTTTCAGGAAAGAGGGGCTAAATTTGTGAAATACCCAAACACAGGAAAACCTAGTATAGTCTGGAGAAATGTCCCCAGTGGTATTGGCATTCAGATACAGAACATGTCTTTCTGTATAATATGGAAGTACTACCGCCTATTTTGCTACCTGGTTCTCTCCCTCATTATCACTTTAGAATTTGTTTTTGACATTGCAGAATGCAAAAAATAACATTTTACCGAGTTTGTTACTACAGGGAAGATGAGGCGTGTATAACTGGGACAGATTTTCTGAAGAGTGGTTATCTCACCCAGATTGACACTTCGTCCCATTTTTAACCAAAGGAAAGAGCTCTGCATTTCTGACTGGAGATTCCGATCAGGACTCCTTCAGAAATGCAGAGCCATATTTTATTTCCGAGACTTCTTTTGTAGTGCAAAAGTGTAGCTCCTTTTCAAACAGTTGGCAGCTGTTTTCTGGAATTTAAAGATCCAGAATTAGATATTGTACAATTAGGGTGCTGGGATTAGGATACTGGGAGGGTAGAATAGTAGGTGCCAGGTGACTATGGTCTCAGCTGGGTAAGGGATAAGGTGCCAGATGGTTAGGTTGCCAATCTGCAAGGTGACACCGGGGGGGTTGCAGGTAAGTGATACCATGTTCAGGATAGCTTGGGATTGGTGGGAGAAATTGGCCAGGTGGGGTAAGGTGAGCCAGGTTCTGTGGATAGAAGGGTGCAGGGTTGCAGGAGTAGGTTTTGTCTGGAGCAGGGGAATGTGTGGAGCTCAAATGCAACACAACTCATGCTACAACTAGATGTACCATTGGTATCTTGAAGTAGTACACTGCATGACTGGATTAACTAATCCTACAGTGTGGCACCCAGGTTTTCATGAATAATTGTTTGCTGCATGCTCCAGAACTTTGCCACAAAATAAGACTGCAGCATGGACAAAGCAACCTGTTGGTTTGACACCACGCCCGCAGATATTCACTCCCGGCACCACCAATGCAAAGTGACAGCAGTGTGTATCGTCTATGAGATGTACTTTGGAAATTCACCAAGGCTCCTTGGAGAGCACCATCAAAACACATGGCCAGTTCCATCCGGAAAGACAAGAGCAACAGTTACAACTTATGGGGAGGTGATGGCCTAGTGGTATTATCACTGTACTGTTAATCCAGAGACCCAGATAATGTTCTGGAGAAGTGGGTTCAAATCCTGCCACGGCAGTTGGTGGAATTTGAATTCAATAAATAACTGGAATTAAGTGTCTAATGATGACAGTGAATCCATTGTCGATTGTTGGGGAAAGAAACATCTGGTTCACTAATGTCCTTTAGGGAAGGAAACCTCCTTCCTTACCTGGTCTGGCCTGCATGTGACTCCAGACCCACAGCAATGTGGTTGACTTTAACTGCCCTCTGGGTAATAAATGCTGCCTGCCCAGTGACACCCTCACACAGTGAATGAATAAAAGAAAACACCACGACCTGCAAGTTCCCCTCCAAGATGCTGACTGGCCAGACTTTTATTGCCACTTCTCACAGTCAGTGGATCAAAATCCTTGAACTTCCTCCCTAACAGCATTGTGGATGTATGCAGATATTATCATGCACCAGATGGACTGCAAATGTTTAAGGTAGCAACTTACCATCACCACCACCTTCTCGAGGACAACTAGAGATGGGTTGGCCCAGCCAGCAACACTGACATGCCATGTATCAATAAATAAAATTAATGTAGAGACCAGAATGAGTGAAGCATAGTAGATTTGGAGGATGGAAATACTAACGAGGAATTAGTAGCATTACAGCAATGCAGCAAAAAATGTCATGCACTGGTTATTAAGGTTAGATTCCTTCCAAGGTGTGCCACAGCAATCTCATTTCTTAAACTGCGTTTATCAAATATCTGCCCAAACATCTTGAGGTACATTTTCATTTCTTCTGATGCCATATTTATTGCCTAATGCTGGAATCCTGTTGTAACCAAAGATGTAAAAGTAATTTGTCGTGTTCGGATCAGTTGCATCTCATTTCCTCTATTACATACTGTATGAATGTTTGCAACCTGAGTTAGCATTGAAGCTGTCCATTAATAGTTGTATTTTGATTCAGGTATGTGACAGCAAATCTAACACTTCCCTAAAGAGATTTCCCTGTGAGAATAGTGAACATATTGACTGAAAGCACTGATAGTTTGCAAGGGTTGTAGTAACTTGAGACCCCTTTGACCTGTGTATTGAGTGCTCTGCACATAAATCTACTACATTTAGGACTGTTTGCCATGTGGCAACTGTGGTTTTTGCCTGCTTTAGGTTATCTCTGGCCATATAAAGTCATATAGTTAGGGTAACCACTGTCCTTCAAATTATGCATTTGACTTCTGGAGTATTTGCAGAAGAATATGCAATTCTTGGTCTGTGAAACGAGCTTTCCACATCCAATGGCAAGTAAATCTTAAGCAGTTTTTTTTTGTCAGCTTTGCTGTTAAGCTATTTCAGGTACCTGAACACCTCCAGCAGTTAACAGCTGGTGTAAGGAAATAATGCCGCTGCTTTTCCATTGGGTAGTTCACAGGCTGCAATCGAGTTTACTGTAAACTGGCTGGAAAATATAATGATGGAAAAAGTTTCTGTATCTATGAATAATACACCAGTAATTTCTAAGCTGATAGATATTTAATATAATTAACACCTATTTGATAATCAATTCTTGATATCAAAATTTCACTATCTATATGATTATGTGTTGGGAATGTAAAAAGGAATTTGCTAAAGGTCCAATTACAATCCGTATGTCCTTTCTAGCGCATGTCTAATTTATTCAGCTCATGCCACACAGCCTTTTGAAAAGCATTTCTAGAAGATAAATTTGATGAAAGCTTTGTCAAACTTCTATAACTTCTAAACATTTGATTTTAATTTATACAGGCACCATAATTAAAATTTATGCTACAATTCTAAACTGTCAACTTACAATATTTTTCTTCTAGGCTCACACGCCATGATATTACATCTCATTTTTATGAATTGAATATTGAGGAGCGCAAAACCATTACATTTTTTAATATTCACTGGAATAGACAAGGCTCTGTGCATATTTTAGAAATTGTCCCTTACATTTTGGCTGACTTATAGAAATTACAATACATAAGGAGTGTAATTCTTGTGCCAGCATTACCACTTAAGTTCAAAATATCTGTTCTAATTTCAGTTCGAAGCCTTTTTAAATTCTTTCTTTGCCCATATGAAATTCTCTTTTAAATGATGCAACACTTTAACCTCAATAGCCATTTGTAGTAAAACAGTCAGATCAATGATTTTTTCCTGTGAAAACATTTCATCTGATTTTCTTATTCTTTCTTCTACTCATTGAGCATACCTAGACCAAGTCAGGATAATCATTAACCCATCCTCATCTACATTCTCTTTAGGGGATATCATCTGCAGATAAGGAGTCAGCTTTCACTTGTATACTGATAATACCTAGTTCTTTTGCCACCATCTTCACTGCCTTTATTTTATCAGATTGATCTCACAACAACTTTATGCACTCACTATTGACTCCATCCTCCTGTTCAGCCACTGTCTCTAAAGTTAAATTAAATTTTTTCAAACGTTGTTTTCCTATTTGATTCTGGACTGAGCTCCTGATCTCATTCTCTCTTACCACAACGACCCCCTTCTTCCACCTTTGTAAAATCACTTGTCTGCACTTCTGACTTGATCATCTGCAGAATCATCTGTTCTTCTTGCTTCCTATACACCCCCTTACATAAAGTTTACCTTTGCTAAAACTTATGCTCGTTATGCCTGTTTCCCTTCAAGAACTGCCAACCTATCACTGCTGTTTTTTTCTGACATGCATTAGTTCTTAGTTCTCCCAACACTTTCTGTTTCAATTTCTGATCTGTGTTTTAATCCACGGTGTCCTTGTCCCTGTATACCACTATAATCATCCAGTCCTAACACTATCTGAGTCCTGAAATCTCTGTTCTTTTATGCACAACTGTCTCCCACCCCTACCCCTTTCGATTTACATTTAGGTTCCCATCTGTTCAGCTACTTCACCCCATGTTCTGGACTCCTTCCAAAATCCCTCTGCTTCTTCATTTTTGTGATGTGAATTCTTTGATCAAATTTTTGGCCCTCTTTCTAATATCATCTGATTCTACTACTATCATTTATTTCTGATTCTATGATTCAGCCTCTATGAAGCAAGTCTTTCTACATTAAAAACAATAGAGGTATACAAGTTATTATTGTTTCTATGCCATAACAGCAATAGATGCACTTCAAAATGATTTGTATTGAAAGCACCTCAGGATGTTTCTGAGACATAAGGCAGGGTGCAAATGTTTTATGCCATTGCCAGACTTATTTTGATTAAAATCCCAAGTTACATCTTGGTTTCCCAGGGTAGTGTGGGTAGGATGTTCAAGTCTTTTGAAGTTGAATCTTTTGCTGTTATTAGGAGATCTGCTGTAGGTCAACTGCAAATGTTTATCTTGCCCACACTCATTTAGCTCCTTCAACAAAACATTCTTAGGTAACAAATCAACAACTGACAATTTAAGCACATATGCATCTTGTTATTGCATCATGGGATGTGGGCAGCACTGGAAAAGGCAGTAGTACCATGTTGTAGATTCAAGTTATGGGTATGCCAGCCCAATTAGAGGTGCATGTTCATTTGCTAAATGTTAAAGTGAGCAGGTTAGCTTTTATGGTAGCCTGGTACTTTCATGGTTATGTTTTGGCACATGTTTGCAAATTACCAGATTTATTGACTGCTGCTTCACACTGGGGTGATTTCAGTAGTGATTTATGGTTCGGTAATATAACCAATATACAACAACAAACCCGTTTAAAGTGTGTTGTTCGTGACCATTGCTAGGTTTGTCACCTCTCCTATGTTCAACACCTTTCAGCAGTTTTTCCTCTTGCACTTCTCAAATATTTCACTTCTGGATTGAATAATGTATCATTTTACTAGTGTGCACCAGTCTTGCCTAAATAACAGCAATGGATGCACTTCAAAATAATTTGTATTGAAAGCACCTCAGGATGTTTCTGAGACATATTATAAGGCAGGATGCAAATGTAAGTTTTTGCTTTTTATTGCTGTTTAGCCAATTTAACATGATTTTTGTTAACCCTAAGCAGAGAATGTAAGTCATGTGTTTGCATAGGCTCAGTTTTATCAAAGCAGTCCTCTGTGGCGTTAATTTATTTTTGGTTGCTTATTTACAGCAAACCAGTGTCAGCAGGAATTCTAGAAAACGTCCAGCACCAACCACAGACACAGATTCCACACCAAAGAAAACATGTGAGCAGAAGTCTGCTGATCATCTGTTGCAGATTCCATTATTCCTGCAATGCTCCCGGCCCTTGACTGTACAAGCAGTCAGCACTCCACAGGAGACAACTCCAAGCCGTCCCATGCCTCCAGAAGCACGCAGACTCATTGTCAATAAAAACGCTGGTGAGACTTTGCTGCAAAGAGCAGCACGTCTAGGCTACGAGGTAAGTCCTGCATTCATAAACAGATAATGAAATATTCTTTTGTTTTTGGTCATCTGTTGTAGCTGTAAAAGTGGTTGAGTTTTATTTGGGAGTGTGATAAACTTCAATTTCTATCTAGATTTTATATATCATTTTGTAATTGGCACAATCAGTTGGTACATACAACATTTAAACAGTTTGTAACTGTTTACAAATTTTCCAAGCATATGTTAATTATGCATATATGTGTATCATGTTGGTGTACAAATTTAGAACAAACACTTCACTTTATTTCACTTTAAATATTGCATTATACCACACTCAGAATACCTAAACCAATATCCCATCTCCAGTATCTGAAGTATGGAAAAGTTCTTAGTAAGATTTAAAGCGTTAAATCTTCAAGCTGCAAGGATCAGTAAGTTTTGTTTTATTTGGTATTGGGTTATAAATGGGTTTTTTTTTCTAAATAGTTGGATTATGTCATTGAAGGTCACCCAATTAGCCAATTTAGTACCAGGAAATAGTAGAAGTTTTTTGCTAGATTTCCATATTTCATTGTGATTTTAAAAAAAACGTTTTTTTGCCAGAACAACGTTTGGTGGCATAGGGAATTATCAAAATCATAACCTGTACCAATTATATGTATAATGTGTTTAACTTGTCACAGATTTGGAAACCTCAGCCCTTAGTTAATGTTCTGTCTGGGTATAAAAACTTCCTTCAGGTCTGCAAGCCAATGTGACAGCCAATAAATCGGATTGGAAGAAATTGTCAGGTTATGAGCTAACCTGTGGTTGATCAAATAGTAATGAAATACGTTAGTATTTTGAAGATTTTAATAACAGTAGTGAATTTATCAGCTGGTAACAATAAAGAATGTACATGATTGCATTGTGCTAAGCTGCATTGTGTACTAGGCAATCTTTTCACTCTAATGTGGAACAGGCACTATTTTGCTGTTTAAACCATATTACCAATAATATTGTAATGAATAAATTTCCTGTGTGGAGTGTTAATTGTGAACACTACTGAAGAATCCCTACCTGTGCTGCATTCAGCAAGCTGGCAGCAAGACTTTGCAAATTCTAGCTTTCTATCTTAAATGTATATTTTGTGAATGTTTACTGACTGACTCAATCCACCAAAATGTTGAAAATTAGGCTGAATTACCCAGATGACTAATTGTTGTTTTAACCTGGCCATCAATTAATTAAGCATATTAAATTGTACTGAGTCATATTCACCAGACAGATTTTGCTTATACTAGACACTGGAGGCTTGATTTTTCAATCATCTGTGGGGGCAAGATCAGATGCAGGCATGCTTTGAAAATAGCATTGCCGGATGATATGTCAGTGTCCTGATACCTCCCAAGCATGGTGCTATTTTCACAGCAAAGGGAGTGGGATTAGGTGCCGACAACCCATTTGGCTTTAATTAATTGCCCGCTAAACTCCTTGAGCTTATTAACGGGCTGAATGTGCAGTGCGAGGATCCATTAAGTTAATGTTTCTGCTGGGAAAGATTTTGGCAGAAAGGGTTATTCTATCAGAGCAGCATTATACCTTCATGCTGGCCATTTGATCACTTGTTTGCATTGGATCTGATCACCTGCCTTTTCTGTTTTTATGGCTGCTGTTTGCTTTTGAGTGTAGTACATAAAAGTCAATTCCCACCTCCTAGCTCCACTAATGAAAACTGCAGTTAAAGATCACATTGTGGGATTGGAATTCAGAAATGCCTGGGCATCAGATTCCCAATTCCAGATTGAAAATCCAGTCCTAGATAATCCAATTTTCTCGAACCTATTTATACACATTAGTAATATCTAAAAGTGTGTGACAACTAGCCTCAAGGTGAGGATCCCATTATTTAAGTATAACGTAGTTTCAACGTACAATTGTGATTTTCTGATGTGCACTAAAATTGACAATATTTTGTTGACTTTTGCTATGATCCTAGGCAGTACTGAACTTATATGCCCGAACAAAAAGCTATCCTTCCATGACATCACTACTATTGGACATTGCAATGAACATTTCTTCTATTATCTTCTGTCCTCTGATGTTCCTTAATTCTATGCATCATCATCCTCTTCTTAGGCAGTCAATTGCCAGCAAGAATGACTTTCTTCCACTTTGGTTTGTGGGTTTTTTTGTCACTAAACAGTCCACTTCTGGCTCTGCACATCCTGACCTGCTACAGATGTTTTTTGAAGAGGCAATTGGGTGGAGTTCTCAGGTTTTTGAATGCTCCTTCCACTGTTTGTGCTTGACTTCAATATGAGCTTGTCATTGGCAACTTCAGAGATGCTTCTTTCCCAGTTTGGGCAGTCTTTGGCAGGAGATTCCCTCAAATTGCTAGGAATATTGTATTTTTTTTAGGGAAGCTGCCTGCATGGCAATTGCTTGCCATGATGAAACTAATAGAGAACTGGTTTTGTAAGTCATGTCAAGCATATGGATGATGTAGCCTACCTAATGAAGCTGACTGACTGACAGTGATCAGTGCCATGATGCTGGGGTGTTGGCCTGAGAGAGGACACCAAAATTGGAGTGTCTAGTGTGTCACTGGATTGACAGAATTTTGAGGAGGAATCACTGGTCACATTTCTCGAGGTATTTGAGGTGTTTGTTGCATGTTGTCCTTATATCCGAGACATACAGAAGGGTCGGTAACACTGCTGCCCTGTATACCATTAAGTTTGTGTCAGGCTGGGATCTTTGTCATCAAGCACTCTGCTCTGATCCTCAGTTTGCCAAAGCCTTGCTGGAACACTCAAGGCAATGTTGAATTTCATTGTTGATGTTTGCCCTTGCTGAGAGGCTGCTCACAATATATGGAAAATTATCCATATTGTCAGGTAGTTCCATAGATCTTGATAGCCAGGGACTGGTGGCAGTGTTGTGTTGTGGAATTGGGTGGGTAGAGAGCCATTGTCTTCTGGGTGTTTAGCCTCAGGCCCATTCTTTCAATGGCCGCTATACATGCATTGGCGATAGTTTGGAGCTCAGCCTCTGAGCGTATGCACCTGCACGCATGATCTGGATACTGTAGCTCAGTGACAGAGCTTGGTGTTCTTCATTCTGGACTGGAGGTGACAGCTTCAATAGTTTACTGCTCATCCTGTAGATTATCTCCACACCAGCAGGAAGTTTAAAGAATAGGGAGTGGAATGTTGCAGTGAGGAAAATGTTTGCAGTGTTCACTCACTTTTGCTGAAAACCTTTTTCTTTAATGAGCTAATTGTGTCTATTACCTTTATTTCAATGCTGCCATTCTTCTTGCATTTCAGGTCCACCAACAAGTATTTGTATGTCAGGTCTTTCAGATCACTTAAAAAGCTTAAATGAGTTAGAAAATATTTGAAAACGTAAATTGAACAATTTGGAGTGGTTGTAAATGTAAGATATCACAGAAGCTAGAAATCTGACAAAAAAAAACCAAAGAATCGTAAATGCTTAGTAGCTACAGCAGCTTCTGGAGAGAGAAATAATGTTAATAGAGACATAAAGTTGTACAGCATGGAAACAGACCCTTGAGTCCAACTTGTCCATGCCGACCAGCTACGCTAAATAAATCTAGTTAATTGCCAGCATTTGACTCATATCCCTCTCAACCCTTCCTATTCATACACCCATCCAGATGCCTTTTAAATGTTGTAATTTTACCAACCTCCACCACTTCCTCTGGCAGCTCATTCCATACATGCAGCATCCTCTGTGTGAAAAAGTTGCCCCTTAAATCTTTCCCTTCTCACCTTAAACCTATGCCCACTAGTTTTAGACGTCTCTACCCTGAGGAAAAGACCTTGTCTATTTAACCTATCCATGCCCCTCACGATTTTATAAACCCCTAGAAGATCATCCCTCAGCCTCCAACACTTCAGGGAAAATAGCCCCAGCCTGTTCAGCCTCTCCCTGTAGCCCAAGTCCTCCAACCCTGGCAACATCCTTGTAAATCTTTTCTGAACCCTTTCAAATTTAACAACATCCTTCCTATAGCAGGGAGACCAAAATTGCATGCAGTATTCCAAAAGTGGCCTAACCAATGTCCTGTACAGCCGCAACATGACCTCCCAACTCCTCACTCAATGCACTGACCAATAAAGGCAAGCATACCAAATGCCTTCTTCATTATCCCATCTACCTGGGACTCCATTTTCAAGGAACTATGAATCTGCATTCAAAGGTCTCTTTGTTCAGCAACACTGTCCAGGATCTTACTATTAATCATATAAGTCCTGCCCTGATTTGCCTTTCCAAAATGCAGCACCTCACATTTATTTAAATTAAACTCCATCTGCCACTCCTTGGCCATTGACCTATCTGATCAAGATCCCATTGTACTCTGAGGTACCCTAATTCACTGTCCACTACACCTCCAATTTTGGTGTCATTTGCAAACTTACTAACCATACCTCCTATGTTCACTTCAAACCATTTATATAAATGAGAAAAGGCAGTGGACCCAGCACCAATCCTTGTGGCACACTGCTGGTCACAGGCCTCCAGTATGAAAAGCAACCCTCCACCACCACCCTCTGACTCCTACCTTTTGACCCAGTTCTGTATCCAGATGGCTAGTTGTCCCTGTATTCCATGTGATCTAACCTTGCTAATCAGTCTACTATGAGGAATCTTGTTGAATGCCTTACCGAAATCTATGTGGATCATGTCCACCACTCTGCGCTTATCAATTCTCTTCATTACTACTTCAAAAAACTCAATCAAATTAGTGAGACATGATTTCCCATGCACAAAGGCATGTTGACTATCCCTAATCAGACCTTGCCTTTCCAAATACGTGTAAATCCTGTGCCTCAGGATTGCCTCCAACAACTTGCCCACCACTGATGTCAGGGTCACCAGTTTATAGTTCCCTGACTTTTCTTTACCACCTTTCTTAAATAATGGCACCACGTTAGCCAACCTCCAGTCTTGCGCCATCTTACCGTGGCTATCGATAATATAAATATCTCAGCAAGGAGCTCAATCACTTCCCTCGCTTCCCACACAGTTCAGGTCCCAGCAATTTATCCACCTTTATGCATTCTAAGACATCCAGCGCCGCCTCCTCTGTAATATGAACACTTTTTCAAGATGTCGCTATTTATTTCCGCACGTTCTGTATCTTCCATATCCTTCTCCACAGTAAACACTGATGCAAAATACTCATTTAGTATCTCCCCCACCTCTTGCAGTTCCACACCTAGGCAGCCTTGCTGATCTTTAACGGGCCCTATTCTCTCCTTAGTTACTTTTTTTTCCTTAATATAATCAGAATCTGTTATTCTGCTGGAATATAATTTTTATTAATTACAAACTTAGAGTTTAAGATAATTGCCTTTCATGATTAAAAGGGATTCAACTGTAGTTTGAGTTCAGTATCGGACTGCTAAAGTTTTTGTTGCATTGTCCAACTGACTGCTCCAATTCACACATTTTCTTATGGGTGTAGTTTGCTCATTAGCGGCTTGCTCAGGAAGCACATGCTTTTTTTAACTTATTAGAAGAGATTAGTAGCTGTTATTCCCCTTGGTCACTGGTGTTAAACGTATCTGCTAATAACATCATTCATATAGTTAAACATTATTAACGTGATCGTTACAACATTTCACAAACTGCTTAGAATCGATTTGTATGGATTTTGTTTTGGGTTGAAACATTAGTCCATTAAAACAGTACTTGTTGTAAAGTGAGGTTGGGAACAATTTTAAAGAATCATAGAGGATGCAAACTAAATTCATTTTTTTTTTCTTTCCTAGGAAGTAGTACTGTATTGTTTAGAAAACAAGGTTTGCGATGTAAATCATCGCGACAATGCCGGTTATTGTGCTTTGCATGAAGCCTGTGCCAGAGGATGGCTCAGCATTGTTTGTCACCTTCTAGAACACGGAGCTGATGTTAACTGCAGTGCTCAGGATGGGACAAGGTATTTATTTCATTGGGTTATTGGAGTCACCTCATTAAATTGTTCTAGATTCCTTGTGTTAAACATCTAGTAGTGAAACTAAGTTATATGATAATTAGTCAAGCTAGTGCACAGAAGTGCTCAATTCAAATTTTAATTTAACCCTTCGATTAACTTTTTAATCCAAGCAACTGAAATGTATGCTTTTTCACTATAGCGAATTCTGTAGTTTCATAGAATCTCTGCAGTGTAGCGGCAGGCCTTTGGAATCATCGAGTCCACACCAACCCTCCAAACAGCAATTCACCCAGACTCAACTCCCTATCCTATCCCTATTTTTCCCATGGCTAATTCACCTAGGCTGCACATCCCTGGACACTGGGCAATTTACCATGGCCAATCCACCTCACTTGCACATCTTTGGGCTGCGGGAGGAAACTGGAGCACCCAGACACAGGGAGAATGTGCAAAGTCTACGCACACACATTTGCCCAAGGGTGGAATTGATCCTGGGTTCCTGGCACTGTGAGGAAGCAGTGCTAACCACTGACCCACTGAGCTGCTGTTTGATAAAGCTGAGATTAATCTATACAATTTAAGTGAGTTCTTTTAAGCAAACAATGACTGATCAAATCTAATGAAAGAAAGTTTGGTAGCATCATTTCTTATGCTATTTGTTTTTTGCCTTCCAAATTCACTTTTGGTGAATTTTGTTTTGTTTACCAAATTACAGTAGTGAGAGCAAGGCATAAATCAAAGACTCCATTGTAAGCAATAAGCTTCAACATCAAGTACCTCAACAAATGTATTGCTTGTAGTTACAATTAACCATACAAATTGGGCACTTCTCTGTATTCAGTGCTTCATGCTCTGTCAAAGCAATTGTACCAATCCGCATCCTTAATTCTCCAACATACATGATCACTGAGAGCAGCTCATGGCTGGACACTCCATATTGCTGAGTTTATATATATATATATATATATATTTATGTATGTATGTATGTGTACACACAATGGAATATTGGCAGTCTATGCAACCATCAGTACGAAACAGAAACCAATCCTATACGCATGTGAAATTCCAGTAGAATAAACTTCATCAGCCAGAGTCTCATGCCAATTTCCTATTCATTGATTCCTCCTGAAAAAGTACATAGTTATCAAGGAGATTTTTCTTATAATTAAATGGTGTTTCAAAATACCCTGTCTATTTACATTTGTTTGTATAAATAAGATTTGCATTTGTACAATAGTTTACTATCACATTAAGTTTGAAGTTTTGCTTTTATTAAAGGCCTATTCATGATGCCGTAGAAAATGATCACTTGGAAGTCGTTCGGCTGTTGCTTTCATACAGTGCAGATCCAACCCTGGCCACTTACTCAGGTCGTACTATTCTGAAAATGGCACATAGTGAAGTGATGGAAATGTTTCTCGCAGGTATGGCGAAATTTGAATTGCTAAACATTTCCGTTGACTTCAGTGAGGGACATTTTTCAGTTGTGAAATTGCCTTTGATGTAAATTTTGTAGCACAATGATGAAATTTCTTAAGTCACTTGATGTAGTCGATTATCACAAATGTTATATATTCGATTTTTAATGAAACCCAAGGTGATTTTGATAATGCATGGTGAGATTTAATATGAATAGAAATGATCGTCTCCGTATTTGGAGTCTGACAAAACATTATGGATATATGTGTTCTATAACATTAACATGCAAAGTCTGTAAATTTAAGTTTGATTTGCTTGATTAAGTGTTCAAGAATCACTCCAGGATTTGAGCATCTGTTTTGGTATGATTCGCATTTCTGCATTATAAGAAATGCTTTTGAAATATTAAAATGTGATTTTATCTGTCTGTTCAGGATGCCAAAAAATAGTCAATTCACTTTTGAAAAAGAATAGGAAATAAAAATCCAAAACCAATCCTTGCTAGATAAATTAACTAGTCATTTATATAATTGCATTTTGTAGGACCTTGTTGTACTCTTTTACCACATTTTTCTATACAGGACATTACAAAAGTAATTAATTAGCTGTTGAATATTTTGGTTTACATTATCCTGAAAGTGCTACATAAACTCTAACAGTGAATTAACTCAGTTATTACTTAGGACATTGTCCATCTCTGTTGAAACCAATAATGGAGGTCAGTCTTGTAAAATCTGATATTGCAATTGCAGCACAATGGCATTAGAAGCACGGATGCTCAGACACCATAAGCCAGTAGTACAAGCGGCACATCTTAGCAGTTAATAAAAGGTCAACTGTTTGGCATTGTAGCACAGGACTGCTTGTGCATTGACCCCAATGTTCTTGGTGATGCAGGTGACGAGTGCTCATAGAAAGTTCTAGACAATGGCAGGGGTGGTTCAGGTGGCCAAGATAAAGAGATTCTGTCCATATAATGAAGGCTTACTACATATTGATGAAGTGCATTGGAGGTAGTGCTGTGCATTATTTCATGTGATCCATCAATAGGCAGCGCTGTTAAATTTTGGACGTTGAAAGAGACTATGGAAATGTATACTTGTCTTCTATTAGAGGTTTTCCTCCTGCGGAGGAATAGATTCATTATGTAATGTGGATAAAGTAGCCTTCTATGACCTGCATGATGTACCTGTGCACTATAAGTTGGGAGATTTTGAACCCACTTGTTGGTAGGAAGAATCTAGTGACATACCAGCTCAGGCAGCTGTTGCTTTGATACAGAATGGCATAGCCATCCCTATCCAATAATTCTTTCCAAGTTAGTTATAAAAGTATGAACAGATTTGTTATTTTCTCCTTAAGGACTAATATTCTTCACTTAAACCAGTTTCCAAACTGGCCTGAAATAATTGCCTGACCCTTTACAGATGGGAGGAGCATAAAGCTGGGCTATAGGAAATGCCAAAGATACAGCAAAATCTGTCTGGTATTCTTTTCTCTGAACCTCCTTTTCTTCTTCAAAACGTTGTAAATATGGAGGCCTGTATATCTCCAGGGAAATGAGCAGATTCACCAGATGTCTGAAACTTTTAAGAAGTTGTCTCTAGATTGTTCCTGTGCCCTGAAGCAGTTAAATGTACTATACTCAATACACAGGTGTGTGTGTGTAATGTATAAACTCTCATTTGGAACTAATCTGTAAATGCTATGATGCAGATCAATTTAATTTAAATGACAAATTGAGTTGAAATTATTTCTGAGTGGTCCAATTCAATAAGAATGAGATGTAGATTTTAAAACTGAACTTCAATTATTGCGCAGACCTTGTTGTATTTCAGCTCGAAATAAATGCATGATTAGCAGAGATTTTAAATTCACAATGATTTTACCTGAAGGGATGCTTTAATGGGCATGTCCTCGGGCATTCAAGTGAAAAACACAATCTGTATCTCTTTTTAAAAACTCACCATCAGGTTAGGTACTAAAACCTGATGATACTTCATTTCTTCTCAGCTCCTTTCACCCTTTCCCTCCCACTGCTTCACTAAAAGTAATTTGTGGCATGGGCTGCTGAGAGCTGTAAGTAAAAAAACAAGCAGCCTCAGAAATGTCACAAAAATGGTCTGTTACTTTCTGGGTACTTATGTTTTACATTTGATTGTACGAAAATGACAGACAGGAAAAGTTCAAGTGATCCATCTAGTCACACAATGGGTGAGACATCAAATATAATGAAACAGACCCTCCCTAACCCCTATTCAAAGCAATGTAATTGCCTGGAGGAAGCGAATAACCCGAGTTTAAAAAAAAGTGCCAATCTGGGTTGGGGATTGCGTGGACTGGGTGGAATCAGAGACATAATGGACATTTTAATAATTGGTCCAATACCCTGATACGTCTATTTTTATAAATTTGGCCTTGCATTATTATTGGAATAACCTTTGCAATCTCAAACTGCACAGTTGAGATACTGAATATTTCACTGCCATATTTTAACATTTTTATGTATTGTATGACTAAACCACAATGAGCAGAATACTCCACCTTCAGTGTTTTGACCATTTTGTATGTTTTTGCCCCACCCCCAGAGTACTTTGCTGATTTGCAAGGTCGAAGCAATGATGACCCTGGCTTGTACTGGGATTTCTATAGCAGCTCTGTGTGTGGTAAGTGATACCCATGTGCAAACTCCTACATGGGAAAGGAATAGTGTAATTGCAGCAGTAAACTGTTGAATTCCAAAGACAAACTTGACAGTTCTGTATTAATAAAGCTGTGATGAATTGATCTAACTATACAGTTAAAGGAGTTTTGTTCCACATTAACAAATTTGCCTCTATATAGTCCAGTTTACTGGGTCTTATTTTAATTGGCATCGTTTTTGTGACTCTGACATTTATTTAAAGGAAACTGTTTTCCAAAAGTAGAATGTCTCTAATTTATTAGATTACTAAGTTAAATTTAGACGACTAGTTAATTGTTGTTATTTCATTTAGAAAGTCTAATTTTGAAACCCAGCTTAATATGTCTGAAGAACGCATTTTCTGATATCTGAGACACTACTTCAGAAGGAGAGGGAAAAACTCCATACCAAATGCACCTCCTAGCAAAGATTAGAGACTACTTTGCTGTATAGCTAAAGAATGCATTTTGAATACAATTTGAGAGGACAAAATTAGAGGTGGAAGGAAGAATTATGAAAATTGTCCTAAATAATCATTCTATTCAGAAACATCAACCAGTATACAAATTTACAAAAGGTGCGAATTTGTGTTCCACAGATGCTGGAACTGCTGATGTTCGCTAATTATATAAAAGTTGGACTTGACATACCATATCAAAATTTGTGGGTGAAATTAGTGTTACTGTTGAGGATGGCAACAAAATATAAGACAACTATGGCCGTGCTGGTATGGGATTTTTGATGGTGAATAGTAAACATTTGGCATTAAATCCTCTTAGTGTGCTTGCAACTTCAAAATTTAGCACAAACACCGATTAAAAAAGATATTCTGACTTTGCAGACACTCGTCCACTGTTTCACCATAAACTGTGCAGTGGACCACACTCACAGTACCAGCACCCAGTGAAGTTATTGAACCTGGAAACTACCCCAATTTTTTTTCTTTCGCATATTGTTATTTTAAAACCCCATTAAAATGTTGAGCCTTTACAATGAAGTGTAGGTGGGTTTTTAACAACAATCTGAGTAATAACGACTGCTGAGCATCAGATATGGCTCTGAATAATTAATTTTATATTTGTCTCCACTATAATCCCTTCCTAACAGCATTATAGGTGTACCTACCCTTCATGGAGTGCAATGCAGGGGCAACTCACCATCATCTACCTAAAGACAGCAAATGCTGGTCTAACTAGAGGTGCCACATCCCCTGAACAAATAAAAAATAATAATATTTTAACTGATGAATTTTGCTTTAAAATTTGTTATTTTTCAGTTTCTACCTAACCCCAAGTGTTGATTCTCATTTTTATTTTACACTCTGTAAAAACTTTAAAAAGTGGTTTGATTATTACTGCTTTTTATTTCCTGGTTAGCTATCTGGGAGGAATCTTTAATGTGATTGACTGCTTGTGTTTCACCACAAAAAAGATTAGATCTCTCATTGAGACTTTATTCCAAGGCAATAATGAGTTGACCATGCTTTGCAGCTGTCGGCTGAATCCAGCCCATTAATAAACTTGCAGAATGAGTGTGTGCACTGCAATTTAATCTGAATATAGAAAGTCTGAGATGGCATATTTTGATGAGGAAAGTAAGAAGCTATATACTCCTTGGAAATAAATGTCTAACTGGGAGAGTTGGCTGATTTCTCAACTGTCTTTGCCTCTGATTTCCCTGGCATGCCCGCCTGCATTCATCTTTGAATCTGGGTTGGTTCTCTGGCTTGATGATAATGACAGAGTGGAGAATATGCTGGACCATCAGGTTACAAATTATGTTGAATACAATTCCACTACTGCTGATGGTCCTCAGCATCACATGTCCACACAGTTCATGAATTGCTAGATCTGTTCAAAGTCTGTCCCATTTAGCACAGTGAAAGTGCCACGTAACAGATTAGAGGATATCCTTGATGTGAAAGCAGGACTTTGTCTTTAAAAGGAGAGGGTCCTAGGGGTGCAGGTACATTATTCTTTGAAGTTTCTGTCACATGTAGACAGGGTGGTTAAAAAGGTGTTTGTTGCTCAGTCCTTTGCGTACAGGAGTTGGGAAGTTATGTTGATGTTGTACAGGACAAGGATGAGCCCTCTCTGGAATACCGTGTGCAGTTCTGGTTGCCCAGTTATTGGAAGGATATTATCAAGCTGGAGAGGGTTCGAAAGAGATTTACTAGGATGATGCCAGGTATGCAAGGTTTGAGTTATAAAGAAAGGCTGGAAAGTCTGGGACTTTTTTCACTGGAGCATAGGAGGTTGAGAGGTGACCTGAAAGAAGTTTATAAAATAATAAGAGGTATAGATAGAGTTAATGGTAGTTGTCTTTTCCCTAGGATGGGGGATTTCAAGGCTAAGGGGCATGTTTTATGGTGAGAGGAGATAGATTTAAAAAGACATGAGAGGCAAATTTTGTACACAGGCGGTGGTACACGTGTGGAATCAACTTCCTGAGGAAGTGGTTGATGTAGGTACAATTACAATCTTTAAAAGACATTTGGATAGATACATGAATAGGAAAGGTTTGGAGGGATATGGGCCAGGAGCAGACAGGTGGGACTAGTTTAGTGTGGAATTATGTTTGACATGGACTGGTTGGATTGAAGGGCCTGTTTCCGTGCTGTATGACACTATGACTCTATGGCTGTGTGGTGGCCGCTCCTAACGATACTCTTATGGATAGATGCATCTGTTAGATGTAGGTGGTGATGTTAATCCAGACTATGCTAAGTTATTTGATTGCTCCTAAAAGGTGGAAGCAATGTTGAAAATGGCATTAACCACGACTCTGTTCCCTTCTCACACAGCAATTCCCTAGAAAGGTTACAGAAATCCTAATTGTGATTCTTTCTATGGCCAACCATTTGATTGACTTGATATGAAAATATCCACGTAGGCTAATTACTGAATGATAGATATTTCTAATGGAATAGTGCACTGGTTTGAACCATTGCCTTCAGGATAGGATGAGATCAAATCTGAAATAAAAATATGTAATTAAATATTATATTGGAACAGTTTATCAGTTTTAAAGGAACTGTCTTGACCTCTGAGTTTCACTAGATTTTGATCAACTTCCAAACATTTCGTGGTGGCAGAGAATACATTCTAGTTTGAGAAGTTCATTCAGCTGAAAGATATGTGGGAATCTTGCATTTAGGAGCTAGAGAATTTTTATAGCCACACACAATATTTCATATTTCATTAGTGTCTCATGTCTGGAAAGCTTAACTTGAGTGGAAACAACCTGCTTGAGCTGAGCCAGCATTGTTGCTGTTTTGGGTAGAGGATATCAATCAACTTAAAGACAACAGCATCTTATCAACCACTTTTTGCATGGAGCAACCAGAAGCTGGTAGAGAACTGGTAAAACTTATTTATTGCAATGAGCTTGAATGTTAACTAGGTTTTGGAATTTGAAACTGGAACCCCAGATATCTGATGAGAGCATCTTCTCCCCAACTGGTGGGATTTTAAGAACTATACTATTTATATTGTTTAACATGCTCTGTGAATGCCAGAAAAGATGTTTCAATTAGGATTATTTATTTGATTTATTATCTTAAATTTATTTAATATCTTAAAGCCACTTCTGAATATGGCAGCAAACATTTTAAATAGCATGCTGTGTGTTTGAGATGTATTCTCTTCTGGTGCTGATCTAAGGTATAAGCTTTTGCATCATACTTTGATAGCTATAAAGAAATTCTTTATTCTCTCCTGTTAGTTAACTTTGTTGGCTTTTATGATTGCAGAATCAGTAGAAGAGTCTGGCTTTGATGTCTTGGCTAATCCACCAGGCCCCAGTGATGAAGAAGAGGAGTATGATGATGTGTTGGAATTTGAGTTTTCTGACACACCTCTTTTACCTTGTTACAACATTCAGGTCTCTCTCTCTCAGGGGTAGGTGTTCTGATTAGATTTTGATAAACCATCTGATTATTTAGCTATTATAAAATATGCAATGATGAAAGGCAAAATGAGAAAAACCCAGCAACGTTCCCTCCCTTCCATTGGTTTAGCATTTTATCCATGTGCTATGATTGATATGCTAAACTCATTCCTTTGGTTCAAAGTTCAGATGTAACTACATAGTTTAGAAACTACACTAAACACTCACTTTAGCCCTCTGTTGTCCATGTGTAATGTGTACCATCTACAAGATATACTGCAGCAACTGGACATGTTCATTTGACAGCACCCTCCAAACCCACAAACTCTACCACCTCGAAGCAAAAGGGCTACAGCCGCATGGGAACACCACCGACTAATTCCCCGCCAAGCCATATACTATCATGTATTAGAACTATTTTACCCCTCTTTCAATGTTGCTGGGTTAAATTCCTGGAGCTTCCTTCCTGATACCAGCATCACATGGACTGAAGTGGTTCAAGAAGAAGCTCACCACAGCTGCATTCAGGAAGACAATAAATGTTGTCTAGCCAGCAATGCTTGCATTCCATGAATGAATAAAATTTCTAAAATGCAAAGGCTATTTAAGAGTTCTGTACATGCAAATATGATTGTATTCTAGCCTTTAACACACACATCTACAACCACCTCCCAACCATATCCCATTTGCTTCAATATATAACCCACTTATTGCTGTAACATTTTTTTCATTTCACTTTGGTGGTTATGCTTTCATTAGAGGATAATTTATTTTCTGATTCTGCAATTCGTTGCGGAAATTGAAGTGCAATGGGTCATTAGAAATGCATGTTTCAGACATTCAAACAAGTACATGATATTGATCATGTGTTAGTTGAAACATGTAACTTTCATTTGGAACAACAGGCTGTTCTTCATTACAATCTTGAGAGAATAATTTTAAATATTGTCCTTTCAAAAGGGAGGCAATGGTCTAGTGGTATTATTGCTGAATTGTTAATCCAGAGACCCAGGGAATGTTCTTGGGACTTGGGTTTGAATCCTGCCATAGCAGATGGTGGAATTTGAATTAAATGAAAATCTGGAATCAAAAGTCTAATGATGACTGTGAAACCATTGTTGATTGTTGGAAAAACCCATCTGGTTCACTAATGTCTTTTAAAGGACTAACGTTCTTTAGGGAGGAAAACTTCCATCCTTACCTGGTCTGGATTACATTGTGACTCCAGATTCACAGCGATGCGGTTGACTCTTAACTGGGCAATTAGGGATAGGCAATAAATGGTGGCCCAGGCAGCGATGCCATCATCAAATGAATGAATTAAAAAAAGCTAATGTATTTTAGTTCTAGATGTATAACCTAGCAAATCAACAGATGCTATGATTAGGTTAAATTTTATTTGGGATATCCAGTTTGTAGACTATCTTCTATATCAAAAGAGTATTCTTAAAATTCAGAGACAGGATGATTCACATAAAACTTGCAATGTTTTCTTCCTTCTCCATGACAGTCCCCGGAACTGGTTGCTACTAACAGACGTAATCCGGCGACTGAAAGTTTCAACCCGCGTCTTTCGCTCCTCTTTCCCTCATATTGAAAATGCCACAATTTCAGAGGCAGAGTTCTACAGACAGGCTTCTTTGAGCCAACTTTTTACCTACCCAGAGAACTTTGAAACTCATGACATTGACAATAAAGAAACTTTGGAGCTGGTGGAATTCACAAGCGAACTTCAAGAACTATTGGGATCATCTATTACGTACCTTTATTCTGACAATGAGGTTGAAACATACAATTAACTGCGAAAGGACTAGGTCACGTATTGGCTGCTGTTCTTGCATTATGGCCTACATTCAAGAAAAAACTGTAAATTATGTAAATGATGTGCTATTTCATGGATCGTTGTGTTTGGAAAAAACACTATTCTGAATACTAAATGACACTGTTGTCTATGTTCTTGTACATTGAAAGCCAGAATTCCATTTTGGATGGACTTGTGAATTTTTCAAAAAGAAATCTCCCTGTTTATAATTTTTTTTGTATGCTGTCTGTTTCCTATCTTTCTGTAAATGTAATTTTCTGCTTTTTGGCAGGTAGCCCAAATTAGGAACTTTTTTCCTGGCACACTGCATATGTAAACACATTCATTTGATTGTTATTTTGTTTTATTTTAAAGAAGCACTGATTTTTAAGATGGTGTCCACTTTCAGATCCTGTGGTCCCTGTCACATGATCTGTTTAGGAGGCTTGGTTGTGTTGAGGCACTTCACTTTATTGTTTACAAATTTACTTGCCGTGGTCAGGTACACTTGTAAGATAATGAAAACTGTGTCCTTGTTTCAGAAGTACTCTGACTTGGATTCACTTTTAGATAACCACATACACACACAGACATCATCCAGTCCTTTATACATACAGATATGTAAACATGTTTTACATTTTTGCTTTTATTTAAAAATGAATTTAAAATATTTTTTCTGTACTTTGTACAAAAAATTATGAAATTTAAAATTTTTGAGGATTGTACAATAAAATCTGTTTTGTCAAGAGTGGAGTTATATACTGTGGATGTTGGGGAACTAAATGTTTCTGATAGTTGTATAATATTTTAGAACATCTGTTTAACTTTGTAAGTAAAACTGCTGTATATTTAGGTTTATATTTTACAGTGACTAAAACAATTTTTCCTTAAAACAAAAGCCAAAAAAGGAAATGTCTGTAATAAAGACATTGTTTGATAAAGGGATATCAATGTGCCATATTACTTGTGTGCATGTATGATCACAATCACAAGGAAAACATTGGAAGGTAACACTTTTTCATCATCTTGTTGCGTCCATATTATTAAACAAAAACATCAACTTGATGGAAGATCTAATTTACTGCCTCCTCCTAATGTTCTCCTTTCTCTAAACGTGTTTTCATCTTTCTAAAAAAAAAAGTAACCTCTGAGGGATAGGTCAAGACTAATTTAGAAGAAAAATTGCAACAGCACAAATTATGCCAACAACTAGTTAAAATCTGGCAACCACAGGACAACGTTATGTGAAGAAATTGTAACACAAGTTCAACTTATTTTCACGTTAAGTCTATTTTCTTGTTGAGGATGGACATTTGAGGAATTTTCCTTGCAAGGCGTGCAGGTATTACACTCTGTGCATGATGTTCAAGGGTAATAAAAAAGCAAAGCATTTAATTCTGAAAATACAAGTATCCATCTTATAAACAAAAATAGAAATTGCTGGAAAAATTCAGCAGGTCGGCAGCATTTGTGGAGTGAATCAGAGTTAACATTTTGGGTTGAGCGACCCTTCCTCAGAACTTCTGAGCTTTTCCAGCAATTTTATTTTCATTTCTGATTTACAGCATCTGCAGTTCTTTCAGTTTTTATTTAGTATCCATCTTATTATGTTATTTAATGGTGCATTGCAAATTTACTCTTACTATATCTAATAAGAACTTTCAATCCTAAGCACCTTTGACATTTTTCTCCAAATTTTCTCATCTTCTACGAAGCGATATGTTTATTGGAGTATCTTTCCATGGGTAGAAAGATACCTTAATTATGGTTTCTAAATGATCAGTTTTCATGTGTGAACTCTGTCTGATCTTCAGCTTTGATTCTATCCTCATACAAATGTCATCAATATTTGCCAGTTGTCAAACAAAAACTTGAAATCACATATTGGCTTCATCACAGAAAATAATCCCAAGGTAATTCACAGGAACTATCTAAACGTGGACACCAAGCCTTAGGAGAACATACTAGGCGAAAGTATTGAAAGCTTGCCAAAATAAATGGGTTTTGAGGATTGTCATTAAGGAGAGATGAGTGTCACTTTATGAAAGGGTTTGTGTAAGGTTTAGGTGACAGAAGGTAAGGCCAAAAACGGCAGGGATCTAAATGATGGACAAAAGACTAATATAAGAATAATAGTTTCTAAGGCTGTAGGTAACAATTACCTTAATGTTTGAATACTTTCTTCAATTTCAGGAGTGTTTCTGTGATCTAAAAGTAGATCCACGGTTGCTGCAAATCATTTGGGATTGTTTTCATTCTTCGCTAAAAAGTTGTGCATAAGCAGCTGTAAAACTAGACAACCTAATTTCTAAAGAGAAAGTAATATACCATTTAAATGACAGACATACACTCAGCTTGCATCCTGTTGATGTGAATTGGATCCTATTTATGAATCAAAATACATTTCAAGCTTTTAACATTTTTTTTCTCTTTCATAAGATGTGGGTGTGGTGTCATTGTCATTGTCAGCATTTGTTGTCCATCCCTTGACAGGATAAGCTGCCTTTTTGACCTACTACAGCCCATGTCATGCAGGTACAATTTCAGTGCTGTTAGGAAGGAAGTTCCAAACTTTTGACCCAATGCCAGTGAAGCAACTGTGATAGATCTAAGTTAGGATGGCATGTGGCTTGGAGAGGAAATTGTGGGTGGTTGCATTCCTATGCACGTTTGAGTCCTTCTTGCTATTGTTTGAGACAGTTAGTGTCTGAAAGGGTTAGCTGACATGCCATTCAGAAATAAAAGACTGTTCATAGGAGTAGCTAACCAGTGCTTAGGTGAGTGTTCTTAATAGCGTGTAGCTAAAGTAGTAATGTTTACTTATGTTAAAAGCAACATGGACAACAATGCCTGGGAGACCCTCACTCAGGAGAGTGGAACCTGCTGTATGAAGAGACATGATTATTAAAGAAAACACATCGGCAAGAGGAAGTAAAAAGGAATCTGCAAGAAGAATGACAGCGAGGTCAAAGACCACTTCCATCTTCCAGAAACACCCTGTCTGATTGGAGATGAGGCTCTAGAACTGAGTTCATCTGCCATAGAAGGACCTGCAAAACCCTTCGGTGGATGATCATACTCTTTGGCAAGTGATTGACAACGACTTATCTTTAGTCGAGCTTGATGTCTCACAAGAGATTGTATCCTAGACTTAATACAACTAGCTATTAAGCAATACATAATAAACCTATCCTGCTTAGTCAAGATTGACCTTATCCTCTGCCTAACACATTAGGTGGGCATCCTTCACCACTTGCAATAAGCAGCTTGACTAATACCCATAAGAAGGAGTGGTGAAGCAGCAAATCTACTCTTAAAATGTTGTCTGGCTAGCAAACAAATTTATAGCACATGTGGGTTTGAAAAGTTCTTTTGAAGAAGCACTGGTGAGTTGCCACAGTGCATCTTGTAGATGGTACACTGCTGCCACTCTATGTCTGTGATGAAAGGAGTTTAATGTGATGGATGAATTATCAATCAAGCTTTGTCCAGATTAATGTCAAGCTTTTGTGAGTACTATTGGAGCTGCATTTATCAAGATAAGTTGGGGTATTTCATTACACACCTAACAGTCTTATAAACAATGGCCAAGCATTGGGGAATCAGGAGGTGAGTTTCCTGCCACAGAATTCCTAGTCTCTGACCTCTTGTTGTAACCAGGGTATTGATGTAGCTAGTTCAGTTCGGTTTCTGGTCAATGGCAATCATCAAGATATTGATTGTCAGGATACAGTGAGGGATGTGCTGTTAGTCAGAAATGATTGGATTCTCTGTCGTTACGGAAAGTCATTGCCTGGGAAATGTTACTTGCTGCTTATCAATTCAGCCTGAACATTGTCCAGGTTTTGCTGGGTACAGTCATGAAATGCTTTGGCACCTGAGAAATCCAAATCATGCTGAACATTGTGCAATCATCATTGAATATCCCCACTTCTACTTTATGATGGAGGAAAGGTCACTGAAGCAGCAGAAGATGGCTTGGCCTCAATCCTGAGGAACACCAGGCATCCAACAACCACAACTATTTTTCTTATGTTAGGTATGACCTCACTCAGTAGAGATTCTTACTGTTGTTTCCATTGTCACCAGTTTTGGTCAGGCAACTTGATGCCACACTCAGTCAAATCTGTCCTGATTGCAAAGGCAATTATCTTCACCTCACATCACCTCACCTCCTGAGTTCAGCTCTTTATCCATGTTTGAACCAAGGCTGTAATGAGGTCAGGAGCAGTTTGCCTCTGGAAAGAACCAAACTGTCCATGAGACAGTAGATTATTGCTAGTTGATAGATAAATCCAGTTGATAGTATTGTCAATTACTCGAGCCAGCACTTTGCTGATGATCAAAGTAGACTGTTGTGATGAAAAATGGGCAGATTTAATTTCTCCTGCTTTTTTCAGTACAGAACATTCCTTGGCCCTTTTCTATTTTGTCGGTGTTATCACAGTGATGTGAGACATGAGGGCCAACCATTTGTCCGTGGAAATAGACTACTGCAATGAATCCTTGTTCCCATGGTAATTAGTCTGTAGTTCAGGGTGAACTTACATTAAGTATTTAAAAGAAGTTTATCACTTCTCAGAAACTATATACAAAGTCAGAAGTCACTTAACACCAGGTTATAGTCCAACAGGTTTATTTGAAATCACAAGCTTTCAGAGTGTAGCCTCTTCATCAGGTAAAGTGACAGAGAAGCACACAGACACAGAATTTATAGGCAGCAAGATCAAGGGCAGAGAGATCAAATGATCATATGAATGGTGTGAGTTGAGTGTCAAATAATAAATCTCTGCAGGTGATCAGAAGTGTCAGATGGTGTGAGTAAAGTGTCAACAGCTGATTAACAAATGAAGAGATGACCTATAATCCGATTAAGTGGGGCAGAGAGATAAATACAAAAAATTGAAAATAAGTTGGTGCTGGAGACAAACCAAACAGCTGGAATAAGATGATGGGTATAAGAGTCACATGCTGAGGGTCTAATCAAAGTAATAAGTAATCCAAAACTGTCCAAACTAATTAAGGTAGTGATCATAACAATTTATCAATGTGATGGTGTCAAAACAGGACAGTAAGGAAGATTTTACAGATACAGAAGTGTGGTGGGGCCCACATGTAGCACGACATGAACAGTTGAGGCCATCTTCATGGGTATGGAACTTGACTATCTGCTTGGTGATTCTGCATTGTTTTGTATCTTGAAGTCTGCCTTGGAGGACACTTAACCAAAGATTGGAGGCTGAATGTCCTTGATTGATGAAGTGTTCCCCAACTGGGAGGGAACACTCCTGTCTGGCAATTGTTGCACAGTGTCTATTCATCCATTGTCATAGCATCTGCATGGTCTCACCAATATACCATGCCTACCAACATCCTTGCCTGCAGCTTATGAGATAGACAACATTGGTGAGTCACATGAGTATCTACCATATACGTGGTGGTTGGTGTTCCCATGTGTGGTGGTAGTATCCATGTTGAAGATCTGACGTGTCTTGCAGAGGTTACCGTGGCAGGGTTATGTGGTGTTGTGGTTGATGTTGTCCTGAAGGCTGGGTAGTTTGCTGTGAATGATGGTCTGTTTAAGGTTTGATGGTCGTTTGAAGGTGAGAAGTGGAGGCATGGGGATGATCTTGGCAAGATGTTCATCATCATCAATGACATGTTGAAGGCTGCAAAGAACATGGCATAGTCTCTCCGCTCCAGGGAAGTTCTGGTCAATGAAGGGGGTACTCTATTGGTTGCATCCTGTATCTGTATTCTCAGGAGGTCATTGTTGTTTTTCACTGTGGCACGTTGGAACTGGTGATCAATGAATTGAGCATCATATCCCATTCTTATGAGGTCCTCCTTTAAAATATTTAGGTGTCCATCACATTCCTCCTCATCTGAGCAAATCCTGTGTATGCGCAGTGCTTGTCCATACAGGATGGCTGTTTTAATATGTC